GACTCGATTGTATTAAACTCATGAGTCATGAAGACATTATTTTCATCACTTCAGATAACTACTTTGTATTCCAGCTGAATGGATGAGGATGTGCACATCCTAGGAAAAAACGAGAAGAGAAAGAGTTCGTCAACTTACAAACCAGGAGTCCCAAGGCACTGGATCAAACTCATTTCTTGACGCTTGAAAGAATTTTCAATCTACATGGTCATTTTTTTAAGGATCGAGAGTTACTTATGATGGAGACACATATCAACAAATAGAATACAAGATCAATGTTTCAAATGTTCTCAATCCACTGGTAAATGCAACAAGACAATCATCACAAATATCGACACTGCTATGTAAGAATAAACCCAATAAACACCACATCATTAATTCCATCCCTCATAAAAAATTTCGCTCAATGATATCACTCGGCTGTTGAACCCTTTATCCATTATATTTTCGAATTCAACAAGCTCTTGTGAATTATAGATGATATAGTCACTGGAAAATACTTCGATTCATCATTGTTAACGAGTTATAGTAGACGCAGACTGTCTCGGATATTCAAATAGCCCTCAAGTCGATGACCTGTCTGGAATAATACAAGCAACAGACTTTCCACGTCGATCCCCACCTTGAACTTGAATCCACCCCTGGCATTCGCTGTGTCTGCAAGACCCGGAAGGGTGGAGTCGCGCTCCGCTAGAAAATGATTTGTGAATAGATACAGCATTTTCATAACATAATGGTGAAGCTTAATTCTTCTTATTATTTTATTCATTATTATTCATTTTCCAACGTCCAGACATATTGTTAAAAATATGAGAGTACATTTATAACGTGTAGGTATGTTATGTGAGTAGTGCTGCCACCTATATAGTATAATCACTTAAGTATTAATTATGTGTATTATTAATAATCCTTTATTTCCTATTTCTCTATTAAATGTTGAAGCAACTAATAGACAGTTTTATTCATAAATAAAAGCATATGTACAATCCTCCCACATTTGGGAGTGGGTGGTCGGGGGGTTGGAAAAAGGAAAGGTTTAGGGAATGGGGGGGGAAGTAGAAGGAGTGTCATTGCTGACCCTCAATATAATCGGGATGAATACGCCACCACACAGACCCACGGTGGGGTATGGGAGACGCCCCCGCTGATGGTAACGGGTGGCTTCCTGCCCAACAGAGCTTTATTTCGACCTCCGCCTAAGGCTTCTCGCCTCCTGCCTAAGCTTATGCGAGAATTGTCAAGCTATCGCATTTCAAAACTTGATGGCCTACTGTTTGTTCGGTTTGCAACTCAGCCCGTACTCATGGGGCTGAAATTGATTGTCTCCAGAAGTTGTACTTTTTGATACCGCTCACGAACGAGTTCCATTTCTTCAGCGGGTTCGTGGCAATCGCCCTCAAGCTACAATGATCGTTCGCGTCTCCAAGCAGGTGGATGGTTCTTTTCTGAATGGAATCCAGCAGCTTCAGGGTATTGCAGTTCTAGTGTACTCTACGCCAGAAGTTTCAGTTTTACCTTTTATTAGGCTAATGTCCAACGCTGGCTCGCGGAAGTCGAGCAATTTATAGACAACCCAAATTATGATAGGTAGAATTGAAATCTGTGGCATAAATGAATACCAGAACATAGGCACACTGACCAGGTTATATTCTTAGTATTCTCCTGGAGAATACTAACAACGAAGTTATTTGGAATTGGACCTTTGTCGCCCATGGATCTCATTTCACATTTTTCGATTTCTAAACTTTCAAATTGGGTCTGATGGATAGGATATTTGCAATAATAGATCGCTTGATAAAATTTCAGACAATTGACAACTGACAACATATTCAAAGATTGTTTAATAAATATGGATGTGTCGTTAGATGATGAATGTCAATGAAATAAATTGCAATATCTGACAAATAATAAATAATACCTAAATATGTACATATAGTTCGTGTATTCTCCAAACATTTTACAAATGTCAACCAAACTATAAACTTCGATTGATTGGTGATGTGACAACTATAATGCATCAGAAAGTTAAAAAACAATTTCAATGAATCGATGAAATTAAAAGCTCGTTTTTTGTTATATATCGAAAATATATAAAATATTAAAATGGTGATTGTATGGTGCCTGATGAAGTAGAAACCCAAGAAATAATGTTATATTTTTTCTATAGCTATATATTTGACCATTGTTCACAAATAGTGGCGGGTCTACATTTTTTGTCCAAAGTTGGTTACGTTTTCCCTGAGAAAAGAAAAATATGACATCTAGAAAAATATATCGCGAACATAACTGAAAATAATTATCTTTCAGAGATGTTGACGAGTTAATCGGGATAAAAATGTATCGAGTCTCTTCATTAATCCTTGGCTTTTCTAAAAAAACAAAGACTTTATAGTTTTTTCATATGAATCAAAATACGTCAATGGATTCATTCAAATTTTCGAAGAATCAATCATGACAATGGTTTTCAAAATTGTTCATAAGTTATGGGTAACCCGAAAGACAAGGTGACAGAAACGGAGAAGACCATAAGAAAATAAATATTTATTTCATTTCTCCTAACGTATCTATACAGTAGGTTAATTCTGGTTAATGCCTGCCAAAAAACAACTATTTCCCTGGACATTGAATAAAATCCGACATACATTTATGCAGATTACCTTACAGAGGTTAGTCAGCAGGATCACGCTGAAGACTAACCTCTGTGAGGTGTCTTACATGTATCCAATGTGATATTAGATGGGGAAATAGTTGTTCTCCGGTAGGCCTTTACCAGAATCTACTGTGTAGGTACTTCGGCGGGAGAGATAAAGGTTTCGAGAGATTCCATTTCCAAATATGTTTCTATACATAAAATATATTTCTCCTCGATATAGTCTTCAAATTCATTTTGATTCCAACAAAAAATATGTTAGTCAAACTCGGTAAATATAATAGTTTCTTAAACACATTCAATAAACGTTACCCAAGACGTAGATTGTTTTTTTTTAAGACTTCTAGATGCAATTTCATCAAATCAAACACTCTTCTATTGAAGTAAAAAAGGTAAATCTGAGAAGTTGCTTACAGCGGATTGTTTTCAGCTAACGTTCATCGTAAAGAGTGAATTTGTTTCGTTTCACATTAATATTTACCGCCCTCTAAACCGCCTCTGTCTCGCCGTCTGAACTGGAAAACTCATCCCACAAAGCGACGAGTCCCGACCACCATCGTCCTGGGGTTCGATCTTTTTGTCGAGTTTAATGATCGGTCTCACAGCCGATTCTCTGTCAGCTTTCCCACATAATTCAACTTTCTAGAGGGCGGACTTGGTATCTCCCTAGATGGATTTCCGAATGGTCCTTCAAGAGTATGACTAAATTAAATTAAAAAATATTTGCTTCAGGATAATACGATAAGTAAAAAGTCAATTATCTTGATGAATATTTTTATTTGATTACGTCTATGAGTAGATTCATCTTTCAACGTGCTAGGAATGGCATGTTGAAAGGTAAGACCTAGTTAATCCTTGACTTGCTTAAGTTTCAACTCTTCGCACGGAAAACTTCGAAGAAGTCATCGTACTCAATTTTTACTCAATTCACAAACCTAAATCGTTATTCAAATGTGATGGATGAAAAACTACACTGAGTGCAAAAGCCACTCCAATTGTTTAGGAGTATACAAATGAGAGGAACACAGCAGCAAGATTGAATAGACTATTCAATATACCTCCTCTTCAATCCAAACGTCATATGACTGAGGAAAAGCCAGATTTTTATCAGTGGAAAATACCATCATTCTATCAGAAGACAGATTCCTTCATTGCATTTAAGACCTTCATTACATTTCAAGTACATTTTAGGTACTAAGATAGTTTTGGTACATTATAAAATGTAAAAGTTTTGGTTTTATCTAAACACGGGTCCATAACTCTAGGTTTCAGTCCTATGGTTGAAACGGAGTGGATTGCCTTTCAGATCGAGTATAACGTTTCATCGGTATATTTAATAATTTGAAATTTTATTTCATTCCTTATTGAACAGAGCGATTCTTAGTATAATTTTCTATAGTCTTGCTATAGTTTCGGATCTTGGGGAATTATACAGGAAGACATCGTACAATAATTTTTGTTTTCACTATTTTTAATGAAGAGCTAACTATTATATCTCTTTAAAATGATATTACAATAGAAATATTGGTTGTAATAATAAATATTTGAACTACAACTCTTTACGGTGTAAATGAATGTTGTCCTAAGATTTGACTTCCAATTGTAAGCATAGAAGTCGTTTATTCCGTGATCCTTCCGAAAATGTCAAGGACATTTCTTAACCATTCACAATGATCCAGTGAACTCTAGAAAGCATATCGTTTTTCGAATAAATTGAATTCACAACCTCAACCTCTTGCCATTTGGTTTCTTCTAAAAAACATCAATACTAGTATATTAGCATAAGGTATACTTTATTCTGGAGGTTTTCCTTCACAAAAATTGAGATTTTTTTTATATAAATACAAGTGGTTTATTCTCTGGTTTCATGGGAAAAGTTGAAATAATGGAAATTTGAAGTACTTAGTCAGTTGTCGAAGTTCGATACGCAAAATGAGCTTGCTGCAGAAGTGTAATTGATTTTTGTGTTCAAATATTCATTCATAGTAATGGACGTCTAATATTAGTTCCATGATATCCGACAACGAAAATGATAATACATCTAAGAACTTTATAAGTGCGATATTGATCTCATATTTGTTCCGTTTAACTATTAAAAGTTCACCTTATGGAGATGATCTATTACACATCGTCTCAAAACAAAAATAGTGATTAGGCAGATGAACTCAGTATTGTTCATAGATAAAACTTTCAATTCCACTTCACCTTTTGATGGATCGTGCATGGAATGCTCATGTTATCTGTCTTACTAGGGATTTGTTTTCTTGATGGAGACAACTAAAATTAAGTGTAACTGAAGCAATGATCTATGCGTTCATCCCACAAAAGTAATAAAGAAGAAGAAATCGCTGTCAGTTTTTTTAGGTTAGAACTAAGTGAATGAAAAGTTTCAAATATTACATTTTCAATAAACAGAACTGAACTATTCTGATCTAGAGTTGATATTAAAAGAATGTTACAAACATATCTATTTCCAAATCATGCCTCGAAAGTCTCAACGTACTCAACATACACAAAATAATACTACTTTAACACAAAAAACTTTGGAAGAATCATTTGAAGAAGTTAATACAAATACTGATGAACAAGTTAATGATTTGGTCAGGTACATAGTGAATCGTGCCGGTGAACACATGAGTTTTAAAAGATCTGAAATCAAGAAAAATGTACTCCCTAAAGCTGGACCTTTGTTTCAACAAATCCTAGAGACCGCTACCAATATTCTGAAAAATGTAGTAACAAGTTGTTCTCAACATATATCCCATTAACATCCCTGTGAATTGTAGGTGTATGGCTACAATGTAATAGTGGTTGATGCCGCACAAAATTCCACAAAGGCCTATATAGTGAGCAATGGTTTGAGCTACTTTAAGGATCCTACTGAACATGTCCCTGATCAAGAATACCCAGAAGATGTTCACAAAATATTAATAATGTTGGTTTTATCTCATATCTTCATGTCTAATAATTCCGTTAGTGAGAGTAAGTAGCACAACATCTAAAATTTTTGGGGAAAAGTTTCGGCTTTCTACTTCTCTATTTCCATACAAAAAGTGTGGAAACTTCCTAAGGAAGGAAGAAAGCAATTAATTCAAAAATAAATTCTTAAATAGATCATGCACAGAAGTTACTTTCAGATACAATTTGGAAGGAAAGTCCCTCTCACAACAACTATTTTCATGTCTACATTGAATTACATAAAGAAAAAAGTACTTTGGAAACAACTAGTTCTATATGAACATAAAATTAGGTATACAAAAATCACTTATTCACATTCAGTTTGTACTTTAAACATTCTATATGGAATTGAATCAGATATTATTCATATGAAAGATACAGGATACATAAAAAAGTTACAATATATTAATATTAATAATTTTATTCCCTTCCACATATTACAGTTAAAAATATGTCTTATAATGAAGATATGATTAACAAAAAAAAAATTCGACACATATCGGGGTATGAGAACAACAGTGGGAAAAAGGCACATTGATTCAGATAGCAGCAGATACTGCTTCTGTTCTTCCATTACGGCCTGAAGAGATGAAGAAAAAGGATTTCACATCGTGATGACTAATTTGAGGTCAAAGTTTGAAATGTTTTCCTAGGAGCGATAAAAATAGAAAGACGAGAGGAGAAAAAAAGATAGGAAAGAGAGAGAGCATTATTTGTAATCCAGTCATGACTTCACTAGCCATCAAATAAATATTGTTTGAATTTAAAACGAAATGCTATTGGCGATAATTCTAAAAATGTACTGTATAATTTGAATATAATATTGATATATTTTGCGACACTGTAAGAGAAAGAACGTGTGTATATTTCTTCTGTGGGTCTAGGTATAGTAAGTGTTTGACGGTGAATGATCAGATTATGAACGTCTGTCCTGTACTTCAATTTCTCATGCTTGATTTAAATATGTTTTGAAACATACACGCCATATGATGACATTGCCTATTGTATATATTGAGCCACTTCAATTGTTTAATCTTTTCCGACATAGATATTCGACTGAATTTACATAAACCATATTGTATAAGTTGAGCACATGAATTTTGCACTTTCTGTTTTCGATGGGCCCCTACTCCGTTCAAGCAAGGACTCACACTGTTAAAGTGTGAAAGTGTGTTAGTATCAAGATACTCTCACACTGTTAAAGTGTGAGAGTATCAAGAGCATTTTTTTTACCTGCACAGACAAAAACTGTCAGCTCAAGAATATGCATTCTTCAATTTGTTCGTAATATGTTCTCTGAAATGAAAATATGTGTCTATTGTCAGTCCCAAATTTTTATGTGAAGATTTGATAGGTATTTCAGTATCACCTATTTTCAAAACGACTTGATTATATCATGGTCACAGATTTTTTTGTATTGATTTTCAGAGCATGATCATTTGATAATTTTTGTGGGGAATTAGGATTGGTGTTAATATTGAATTTTATTTACATAGAACTCTGTCATCCTCAAAGGCTGTCTTTATAATGTTATCCAATCTGGATAACATTACAAGCTGAATCACTCCACTCAACTCAAAATCGACAAACAAATAATTAGCGAATTATTGTGTATTTGTTCTATATTGACAAATGACAAAATTCACATAGAAGGAATGTGACGTCATGTCACTTCCATGTGAGACAAAAGTTAGCGGGGCGTCTCCGCATGACGTGCGTTTTGTGTGAATGAGCTCCTATGAACTATCTAAAGTATTAGATTCTAGATAACAAAGTTATCTAAAGAGAAGTAAAAAGTTATTCAGCCAAAAAATATTGTAATTTTCTCATTACAAAATTACATTTTCTGTGTCATCACTTAGTTTTGCTGCTATCTTGGTAATATTACAAATTTTCATATTAGTTTTGCTGCCATCTTGGTAATATTACAAATTTATCGTTCCTGTACAATGTATTAAACATTTTTTAAATTATAAATATCTCAACAAAAATAGTCAATTTTTGTTTTTAGTAATATATAATCATTTCATTTATTCCTCTTTATCAATTCAATTCACATTAGATTGAAAATGATGATTTTCATAGACTTTTGTCACTAATCTATCATGTTCAACAATTTCAAGATGACTGAAAGAAAATTAGTAAGTAAGCGACATAAATATCAACAAGCAAGTATCTTTTGCTATAATCGAGATTAAAATCAACGATGGTTGACCATCTCAAAAGTGTTTGAAGCATTCACTGAAACAATACTGAAATCTTTCTGATTAGTCAGTGGGTTATGCTTGAAGAATGGCAGTAAACAATTTTAAAGAAATGAACTTTGAACAGTCTCGAATATACCTACACAGTAGGTTGAATGGACTGACGCCTATCAGAAACAACTACTCCCCTGGCTAATACCACGAAGGGCGTTGGATTATATCCGACAGGCGTCAGTGCAAGAATCTTCACAGAAAATTTCCTGCATATGCAATTGGCAATACAACTTATACCACCCATACGAATCCCTACCCAAAGATATCGATATCTAGTGTTTGTTGATATCCTGGTAATCGTGTCCAGGAACAGAGTAGAGAAAAGAAAGCCTGAAAAAATATCAGAAGCCTGAATGAGAGCACATAGAATTGTTATACTGCCTATACCAACATATGCCTGAGATACCTGATTATAGCAAAGAAAGATCAACACAAACCACTGCCTTGGTAGAGAAAGGTATTCGGAAAGATATTCGGTGAAAAAAACATGAACTGAGTATAACAAAACTCCAAACATAATTACAACACAGTGACAACACATCTGAAACAAACCGGTAACAAACAAAGAAGAAGACCTAAGTCAAGATGGATAAAAGATGGATGAAGTGAATTTGGAAAAATACAGCAGAGAATACATCAATGGAGAAATGCAGCTGACCAAGCTATGGATTTGATTGGTTCACGAAGCTAATAATTATTTGTTAGGTATCCTCATGGTGATAATTAAATTTCTTATTTGAGTAAGAAATTGAAACTATATTATGTTCGAACGATTCTTTGTAACAGAGAGACAGAGATATAGAGAAAAGAGAGAGAGTAGGAACTTCTTTTTCCTCTTCGTTTTGAATGTTTTAGAAAGAATCATCATCAAGTTAGTTGAACTTTTTTGTTGTAATGTATTGCTGTTGTTACTGTTGTTCTGTTGTTATATAGTTATAAGTTGTTTATGAATGTTTTATTATTTCAGATATACCTTTTTTTTATTTAAACTCAGCATGTTGTTTTGGTAGCATAAAACTTAAATATTTGAATATTTTGATTGTGCTTATCATATGTAAACCTATGAAGGTGAACTGAATATTACTTATTTTTCAGCTTCCCTTTATTCCTTTTTGAATTCACTCAAAATAGATGTAGAAAGAAAGCATGAAATATTTGGTAATGTGAAAGATTACATTACGAATACCATGAAAAATAAAAAATACCTTAATGTTGAGATGGATCAGTTCTCAAAGAAGACTTCATTTTCATGGGGAACTAGAGCAGAAAAGGAAATATCCAAGCATGATATTTTGAAATTTGTGTGCAAGGTAGGACATAATAGTATACTGAAAACGTTGAACCTATTATTCAGACACTCTGCAAGTTATTATATAATGCCCACCAGTGGACACTATCAAATTTGACCCCTGGGGCCATTTTTTTATTTTTCGGTACTTTTGTTAAATTTTCTCTCTATATCATTCAATGTGGACATGTGGTCCACTAGTAGTGATACCGGGGACTGACTGAACATGTAACATATCAAAAGTCGAGTGTTTTAGAAAAACTAGACAGAATTATAATCCGAAAATATTTAACAAGAAGTACAATCCAAGATTTTTGATATCTTATTTTTATGCCTTATGAATTTAAACAGCAAGAGAATATATTGATATTTTTTCAAATCTGAACCCACGTCCTAATCACTTTCAAATCATTTGAAACTTTTCCTTCAGTATTAATTTTTTCAGTAGATGATGATTTGTAGAGTGATATTGATTCAATGTTTTGGTTTGTAGTTGATATATTTGACATATTTTTCAGATCTACAGAGATAGACTACCAAATTCATGGGTGAACCAATTCAAAGTTGCTAGCGAACAGCAATTTGAAAACCATAAGGAAAGTCTGCAAGTACCTATCCAGATTGATCAGCAGATGGAACAGTAATTCGTTTAATTTTTACTCACTTTACTTTTTCACTTTTGAAAGGAAAATGATGAAATAGCAAATATTGTTTCCAGTGAACTTTCAATTGAAATTGGAGTACCCCAGGGGTTAACCCTGAGCTCATTCTGTGAATTCAGTTGAGAAAAAATTTAAAACCTTGAACCTATTATTCAGACACTCTGTAAGTTATTGTGGTCTTAACTCAAATGATAAACAGGTTTGCAAATAACATATTTTCAGTTATTAAATTTGATCAGAATTTAACAATTGAGTCTTATTTCAAAACATTCATGTACCGAGTATTAAATACTTCAATTTCTATCTCTGCTCAAGATATTTTTATAGTGCAGAAGAGAATTGTGTGAATATCAATATCACAGCGTTATGGAGCACACATTTTATCAGATCAATTTCATCTTCACATCACTTTCCCCAAGAAAGGAAATATATGATTTATGAAACCTAAGAATCACTCCACGCACATAAAAATGTACTTTAAATCTACTACTTTAAAATCTGACAGCTCTGTCCGGTATTGTGACAGTATAAGTGACAGTTTTTTAGACTCTTGTATCAATCATTTGTCATTTTGCATTGAAAGCTACAGAGAAGCAGAAAGTATCTTTCCATTTTTTCAATGTCGCAGCTTAGTTTTTCAACAGATTCGTGGACCCTTTCTTCTTTCATAACCAGATTTTGAATTTTCTGACGACCTCATGGATGGCATCTTTATCATCGTGAGGATTTTATGAAAGTGTTCTTATTAAAACAATCACCATGGATGAGATCCATGGCAAATTGAAACAGTGCTATCTAGTATTGTGACAATATGCCTTGGGTGCCGGTACCTTTGGTTGCTGGCCTTATCCAAGTAGTAATGCATAGTGCAGCTGCGAGAGAGAGGTATTTGTGGGTATTTGAGAGACATTTCTCGCATTTGAAGTTGTCAGTAAACTCAATGTGACACCCGTGCTTTCTGGTGACAACGCATTTATGTAATGAACGTATGTATGTAACGTATGAACGAATATGTAATTATTTATTTATTTGTTTACAGACCATGGCCCAGTTAGAGTAGGAAAGGTAAATATCACAAATAGATTTGTACACACAACAAAATGACAAAAAAGTTATTAAAAAAAATATTCAACAAGAGTTATACATTTCATACAACTCATTTCTAAAACTAGTAAGATTTTGGGAGAAGATATCACAGTCATTTTGTGCATCATTATAGGCATTGCTCATAGTATTCAATGGCGCATTTTGATAATATTTTGTTCTTGCCGATTCAATTTAAAATGTGCAAAACGATCCAGGCAGGTACATTGAAAATGATTTTTGATAGAAGACAAGGATCATCCACTTCACTATGTATCCGCTTGTACAAGTATATTAAGTATGCAAATACTCTTCTTTTCTCGAGGGTTTGTATGTTGTACTTTTCAAGTAACACTACTTTGGAAATACAAAGGTCATAGTTACCTGTTTCTTTGAAGTGAAGGTATCTCAGGAACTTGTTTTGAACTCTTTCAATGCTATACTTGTGACAATAATATTGAGGACACCAGATAATGGAAGCATATTCCAAAATGCTTCTATTAAGAGTGATATACAAATGTTTGATGCAGGTAATATTATTGAATTGCCTAGAGTTGCGAACTACAAACCCATACATCTTTGAAGCCTTGTTTGTTGTATTCAGTATATGAGATCTGAATGATAATTCGTAATCAAAAGTAACACCAAAGTCTATTATTTCTTGAGTTCTGTTTAATTTTATACCGTCCATCTCGTAGCTGTATGTTATACTGACTTTTCCGGGAGAAGGTCATAGTATTACACTTTTGAACGTTGAATAACAATTTATTCTTTTTTGACCATTCAACAATAAATCCACTGGACTTACGCCCTTTCACTATCACACTTTGTTTTCAATTAGATAGATGTGAACTGAAAAATGTTATATATTTTATATTATATATATATATTCTATATTATATATAATATATATTATATATATATATTATATATTCTAGGGTTCTTAGAAGAATTGGATGTGAGACTTTATCAAAAGCTTTAGCAACATCGGTGTATATTATGTTCACTTGATTACTAACAGTGGATCTTTTTTTCATGAAGCCATGTTGGAACTGTAATATTTTAGGAGAAACTAATCTATAGTTCGGTGGTTTTTGTTGCTGACTACGTCCCAGCCGAACCTATTTGCTTCCGCCCTGAGCCCCCTGGAGTCTATTTTGTTGCAGATTTCAACATGAATACGAGTTTTTTTTCTTTTACCATCTAACTCCATTTGAATAGCCTGAAATTCAAGCAGGAGAAGTGGAAATGGAAGTGAAAATGATGTGAACCTGGAAACCATAAATAATCTGACTAGTTAGTAGGAGATAAGTACTGAATTCATAGTGCAATAAATAAAAGTCGTCAAAACCTAAATTATATTTGGAAACTATTCACTTATAAACAGAAAAAAATGTAATTAAGCATTTTACTATTTGTCATCATCACGAGGAACTATGTCAGTAATACTTTTTCTTCATTGTAGTATGTGAAAAATTTCACAATAAAATGTTCAAGAGCTCACTGGGGATGAAATGTTCAGAAAGGGATTGGCCATATCTGCTGGTTAGATTTTCAATTTGAATATTTTGTAATATTCTTCTCAAAAATCTGTTGAACCAAATACTGATTGAATTTTTGATAACAGTTCATAAAATATTTCAAACATATCATAGTTCTTATCAGGTATAACTTCACAATAAGTGTAGTATTGTTCCTTAGTTATAGTGCTCAATCAGGCCAATAAATATATCAATCAACACATTGTGTGTATATTTTGAAAATTTTATTTTCAAACGCCTTTTGAACAAATTAATCTCTATAAGTTTCGTAAGTATGACATCATCTTACTTTTGTTATATTATACTTATTGATACAAAACTCTGTCAAAGGGTTGGATTGAAGATAGTAAACAATTTTGGGTGAAATCTGGACCAACTTTTCTGGAACACACTTCAACTTATTATGATCTAACCTCACCCACTCTATAGCCCTCAAGGATCCAAGGCTCTCTTCACTTATATCCTCTATTTCATTCTTGTGAAGAAACAACCAGCCCAACGTTTCCAGTGCATCAAAAGCTCCATCTTCGATTTTTCTAATAACATTGTCATTTAACAAAATGTTAGTTAGTACATTAATGTTTCTTATCAAGTGCTCGCCCTTTACGTTTTGAAATACCTTCAAAGGAATGGTAGTTATGTAGTTTTTCTCAAAGTTGAGCATTCCGACATTGGGACTGTTTTTGAACCACTCAGTTGACAGCAATGTAATTTTATTTTCATTTAAGAACAAGACACTCAAGTTGGGCATATCATCAAACGCTCTGGGATGAATGGTTTCGATACTGTTATTTGTTAGGGACAGTTCCGTCAGTGGTAATCCATTGAAAACCCCTTCCTGGATATTTCGGATGCTATTATATCTAATTTTCAGAAGATATAAATTTGTTAGATTGAGAAATGCACCTGGTTTTATTTCAGCAATGTTGTTACTCTCCAGCACAATGTCTACAAGCTTTGGTAAACTGTGTATGGCATTTTTCTTCAACACTGGTATCTGTTCATCAATAATCTGAATATATGACACGTTCACCAGATCTTCTACGGGTTCAAAACAACCCGTGATGTTTGTAATGTCCTTCACTCCTTTTAGAGTCACTTTGACGTTGTAAAACGAGTTTTCGTCACAAGAACCCACCAAACTTATGAAATAATACACAAAAATGGTTGTAAAAATCTTTCTAGAAGCCATTGTGTGCAAACTGATTATTTTGACACAATTCTGTGTTATGGTGTAAATCTTATCTAGGGTCATAGGTTATACATCAATGAAGTAATGACTATTAAAGGATGTTATTATTTTGTTTTCAGTATTATCATTGGATTCTATAATTAAAATATTCTTGAAATAGTGGAGATGGCACCAATTGTCACTTTCATCAATAAAAGAGTTCGTTATTGAAACATGTGATGTAAAAAATGGTATCATTCAATTTATCGATTCATATTGAATCAGATTTCAGAAGGTAACTCACTCAATCTCACTCAAAACGCCTTACACCTCACTTTTTCATGACGGTGAATGCAAATAACAATAGCCAACAAATAAGAAGAAAAATTGCAATTATTATTATAATGGCTATACATGAGACTCTAAAGCATCCTGACTGCAACTTCAACATCAAAAATTTTCCATCACGTAAAGATTTTGAGTTATAGTTATTTTCATTTTATACAAACATTTTCACATATTATAGGGAAATATAAGATCAAAACAAGAAAAAAACAATATGTGTTGAGGATGACAGACTTCATTTGCAATATACATGAAAAAACATTCAAATGAAGTCTTTTGTGCGTAACCTTTTCACAAATGTTGACTTTCGTTTATATGTTTCATCGTTTTTCCTCATAAGGAACCAACAATAATCCCCCATCATTGTTGCATCCCATCTGCCTTGGTAACGTTGCTCCATTGTCAGTATGTCTTGGTGGAACCTTTTTCCTTGTTCGTCACTGACAGCACCCAATTTTTCTTGTAAAAAAATCAAATGGGAGTGCAAGAAATGGATTTTGAGAGACATGCGACATCCCATTCTGCAATAGTTTTCAAGTAGTTCTTCTACAAGTGTTTCGTAATTTCATACTTTCTTGTTCCTTAAAAACTCCGAAACAATTCTTTTGAAAGAACTCCACGCAGCCAATTCAACATTACTTAATTTTTGATCAAACTGTTGATCACTTAGTATTTTTCTAATTTGTGGTCCAACAAATATACCTGCCTTGAGCTTTACATCACTTAATTTTGGAAACACGTGTTTAAGATATTTAAATGCATCACCTTCTTTATCTAATGCTTTTACAAAAGTTTTCATTATCCCCAGTTTAATGTGTAATGGAGGTAACAAAACGTTTTTGGGATTAACAAGAGGTATATTTGTCACGTTAGCTTGACCTGGAATATATTTATCTCTCGGAGGCAATTCTTTTACTTGATAATGGCTCTGTGTTGCCCCTGTGTTCCGAAGGCAAAGAAAACAGCAAAACTTCGTAAATCCGCCCTGAAGACATAGTAATAGTCCTATGACTTTCAGGTCACCACATATTTGCCACTTGTACGTATTATAACTTATTGCATTAAGAATAAGTGACATACTTTCGTGTGTTTCCTTCATAGCAACTGCTGTGCAAGAGGAATAGAAGCGTCTCTTTTTACCATTATGGATCAGAACGGCTCTAAAATTGTTTTAGACGAATCTATAAATAAACGCCATTCGTCCGGGTTATGTGCAATTCGGAATGTCGTGTTCATTAAATTTTTGTGAAGAAAATATTTTCGCATTTAGGGACCAAAAATTAACAAAGAAGTGCCCTTGGCATTACAGTCGTAAATTGGCTGTAAACTAGTGTGATTTGTAACATACGTTCATAATTATCATTAATAAGCAAATGAACAAGCTTATTTCGCTCAAACCTGCAATAGGTCTTACTTGTATATGGAAGGAGAGCTTTTATAGCATAACTAACAACTTCAAATCAATCACAGGCAATCACAACTGAGCAAATTAATAACTTCTCAATATCAGGCCTTGATAATTTCCTACTTTAAAATATTAACTTAATCACTGAACTGATATTTCAAAAGTTCTTGACCTAATAAAAAATTAGAATCGATAAAGTAGTTGTTAGAATGTTTGATTTGAGTGCCAGTGGTCCTAAGTTTGAGGTGACGTAACGACAATATTGTCAATAAGCCCAATTAGTAAACAAAGGAAATAATTGTAAAGTGTTACCCACGTATAGTCAATTTCTGCCTAGAACATGACTGTTGGAAAGTGGCTACTTTTTCACCTAAAATGAAAAACAACAAACCTTAAAGTTTCAAAGATCTGAAACCAGCAATGTCCAAGATACCAGAGAGAGGGTGATGGACAACCATCTTCGGAAACATACGTTACAGAATTTGATCTTCTGGTATTTGATCTTCTGATCTACATTCTGGTTTTCCCCCATCACATAGCTGCGAAACTGCTCGAATAAATATCACAGAAAATATCTTTAGAACTACAGACAGAAAATACGTAACCACATTAGTATTGCTTGACCTTTTGAAAGTATACATTACTATATATTACAGTCATGCATGTCATTCTTTAAAGGCATCAAATGATGAAATTGGTAATTAAAAATCCAATGCTCTCAAACTATCTACGGATATTCCTTAAGGAACTATTCTGGGCCCTTTACTTTTCACGTTATACACATCCGACACACACAATTATATTTATCTTTTCTCTCCCTGAATTCGAATGGGACAATGTGATGAGTGTCGAAAACCAGGCAAAATTAATCCGCCACACATGCAACTGCCTACAAAAGAAATACACCAATTTATGATCACGAGTCATTAAGAGAAGTGGGCCCGAACTAACTCGTGATGACTTTACAGGTTCGATTCAGATTTATCATTCTGTTATGGATAATTCAAATGCAAAAGTCTACGATTTGGGATGAAAACTTTGATAGAGATGCATTGTTTTTCGAATTTTTTCTTGCAGAGTTGGTGAAGCTTCTCAAGAGACCATTCCACTACTCCTAATGAGTAGAGTAAGATCGGAACAGCAAGTATGTTTATTTTTCCTCGAAAGCCATGGTGCAAGATGATTCCGTCTTTATGCTACCACCGTTCTCGTATACTCAGAATAGTGCTGCTTTGGGAAGGACCGTTACACATTTATCTATCCTGCATTCCATACCGATAGCAAGCCTCTGTACTCTTCCACGTCCCATAAGGATTGATGGACAAATTTTTCTCTAGAGGCATAAAGTTTGAGATCATTCATATAAGGAAATGGATTATCTCGCGTATCCGGTCTCTAAGGATTTCACAGTTATACCCTCCTTAGTTTACCGACAATGTTGCTGTTGTCGTCATTAGTGAGCAAAACATGGTAATAATAATAATGATAACACTTCCGGAACATGCCGCTTGTTCCGCTAAAAATCTTAGAGATTATTATTCCCATCTTCGGCGGCAGGACTACGTAGCTCCTTCTCAGGCTGCTAAGGAAGTGGTGGAATGGAAGTGGCAGTTCCACCATCTATTAGCACGGTTGGAGAGGAGATTTGCATCGTGCCACAAGCCTTTCAGAAGAGGCTGACATCTGGCAAAATAACATCGCCATATACACCTACACCGCCGTTCAAACGCTTTTTGAATCGGAAGGACGGAATCCCGACCCTGTTGTTCGGAAGAGTGAACGACGGTACACAAGATGAAATCTAAGACCAAGTCGACGTCTCGTATCCGATGTGTGATGAACTACAAAGCGGCCAGTAGGCCGCAAGAATCATCTCTGTGAGGAATTTTGCACAAAAAGCAGTCGGGTATGATTACATATCCGTCGTGGTATTAGCCAGAGCAGGTATTGGCCACATCCTACTGTGTAGAGAAGTTGGGAGAGATGAATGTTTCGAATTCGAATAAGTATTCATTCTCATGTATTATTTAAATAATGTAAATATGCCCAACAACTTTTATTTTGTAGACACAATTTTATTAGAGGTGAAAGAAATCTTGCAAGAAAATAAAAACAAAAATACAACGGGCATTGACGAAATTTCAGTAAACATTTTAAATAACCTTCCCGATTTTCCGCTTTGAATACACTAGTGATGGCTATAAATAAATCCTTTTTCCTTGGAAATTTCCCTCCGTGTCTAAAAACAGCTCTTGTAATTCCTATTTTCAAAGGCGGTAATACAGAAGATCCAGACCTATCTCCATACTCTCAATACTCTCAAAAATCATAGAAAAACTGGTGCAAAAAAGGGTATTAGCTTTTCTTTATAAATTCAATATATTAACCAACTGGCAATTTGGCTTTCAGGTTGCACAAATGATGCAACCTTTTTCTTTCTTGAACAATGGTGAGGTCGTGGCTGCAGTATTCTGTGATTTCTCCAAAGCTTTTGATTGTGTAAATCATGAAATTCCTCTACAAAAGTTGAACTGCTACTGGTTCAGGTCTTACTTAAGTGATAGAAAACAGTTAGTAAGATCAAACGAAAAACTATCACACACTAAGGATATCTTATGGGGCATTCCACAAGAATCAGTACTGAGCCCGATTCTTTTCCTTATTTATGTAATAATTTAGATATAACTTGTCTTCAAAGAGTGAATTATATTATTTGTGTATTTTTATACTTACGAAACTGTGAAAACGTGTTGAGAAATTCTGCAAAAACAACTTTCGAAGATTTTGTGAGAAAACTAAAAGAAGTTCAGAAGGATACTAAGAAACGACTTATGCTAGAACTCGATCAGTTGGTGACAAAATGTTGAATTCGAAAAAAACTCTATCGGCGCTATTCTACGGGATTGCTTCGTTTATGATAACAATCGTCAACAAAACGATCCTGACGACGTATGGATTTCCATCTTTTCAAGTATTGGGTCTATCTCAAATGTTCGCAACCATTGTGTTTTTATTCCTAGCCAAGAAGATAAGATTAGTGAACTTTCCAAATTTGCAACAGAACACATTCAAAAAAATATTTCCGTTACCTCTGATTTATATGGGAAATGTCTTTTTCGGGCTGGGAGGCACCAAAGAACTGAGCCTTCCTATGTTTATTGCACTTAGGAGGGTTGCTATTTTAATGACTATGGTTTTGGAGATATACTTGCTGAAAGTTAAACCCAGTTTCAAAGTTCAATTCAGTGTATATACTATGGTTTTGGGGGCTACTGTAGCGGCAGTGAACGACTTGTCTTTCAATCTTCAAGGTTATTTTTTCATTTTTTTGAATAACTTTTTTTCCGCTTCTTACTATGTGTTTTTGAAAAGAAAACTAGACTCGAAAGACTTGGGGGAGTATGGACTGATGTACTACAATTCATTATTCATGATTGGGCCTACTTTATTGTTAGCAGTTTATTCTGGAAATCTAGAGAATGCTTACAACTACCAGCATTGGAGTAACTTTCCATTTTTGTGCCAGTTTCTGTCATCTTGTACGATGGGTTTCTTTCTGAATTACAGTATGGTACTATGTACTTCATATAACTCTTCATTGACTACTACAATAATCGGAAGTTTGAAAAATATTTTTATAACTTATCTTGGTATGTTCATTGCAGGAGATTATATCTTTTCGTGGTCAAATTTCGTGGGTATAAATATAAGCGTTGTAGGAAGTCTGACTTACTCTTATGTTACTTTTCGTAAATGAGAACCTAAATTATATTAACTTGGACCACAACGGATATCTTATGTAAAGGTAGTGGCATCTCCTCTTACGAAAACGCCATTTCTGGAATAGAAGACTCAATACAGGATAAACGAGGTTCTCCAACATCGACCGCATCGTTTTCTGTCTTCCACTACAGCTTTCACAGCAAGGCAACTAGAGGAAACCCAAACCAGAAAGATCGTGATCCAACAACGCTCACAGATGAAAGGTGCACTGAAGGATAGAGAATGAATTGCGGTAGATGTCGAAACAATGGACGCCTTTGTGATTCTCGTCTATCCATTTCATGAATTGAGCCTTCTGTCGATATCACTGATGATGTCTTTTTAAGAGTCCTTCAAGTAAGGACAGTTGAGTGGTTAAGTAGCACCACTGATGATACATTGGCGGGTCGAAACAGTTTGGTATTGAATCACGAGCTCTCAGGGTCTGGTTGGTTTCAACAGATATCCTTTATATGTCTGGTATCAACTCTTCCAATTGTTTTTGCATAGGTATTAAGGTTCATGTTCATGCATATCTATCGACCAATATGGCTTACTTGATTTCATTTGGGCTTAAAGCTTCACCAAAGGCACTTTAGATAGATTTAATGTTGCATATTCTACAACGTGATGATGTACATTGAAAGGTAGATGTGAATTGTGATTACCTGGACATAAAAAATCATTTTGAGTTATTTATGCATATCAGATGTTCGTCACGATTTTTTGTTGAACTTGTGAATCTATAAGAATCTAGAATCATCAACGGGTCCATCATCAAATTTATGTTTTCAGTTTGTGTGTCTGTTTGGATCAAACTTTATTTTTATGATAGTAAATCTATCGAAATGTCTAAAAAGAAATATAATCCTGTCACGCCATGTTGGTTTTTTCTGTAATTCCCTGAGTGTTATTTACGAAGTTTTTACCTTTTCTCTAAGCTGTGTGTCTAAAAACAGGGTTCCCAACTTAGGGGTTTCCTCCAAATTTAGGAGGGAAAGTGGGATGGGATTTTTAGAGGTGCTACATATTAGAGGTATTTTTAGGGATTTTTATAACTTCAATTTTTTTATGGTTCCATTCACGCTACAACAGAATGGTAGATCCTGTATAACATTTCAACCATCCGCAAAATGTTAATCAATGTTAACATGTATGACTCTAAAAAGTCAGAATCTGAAGAAAATGATCTGTTACTTGAAGTTTTAGAAAATTCATGAATAAGGAATATTCAAAAATGTTGCTGAATAATATTATTCTTTGATTGTTTAGAATTTATTATTTGTTTAATGATATTATATCATTTATTATTTAGTTTTAATATATTATTTATGTAGAAATATTCAATTTTTCATTTCATTAATAATACTTTTAGGGGGATTTCCAAGAAATTGTAAGTTTCACCTTTGATCATTTATCTTTTTTTTTATTTTTTATTCATTTATATACAGGCAAGCCCATTTAAGTATAAATTACAATGTTAAATCATAATTAAAATAAAATCAGATAATGTACTGAATTGCAACTAAGAATAGCTTAAAAGGGATAAATTTAAAGTTTGAGAGGGGTTAATTTTAAAGTATAAAACGACAAAAAACAATGAGCGACAATAAAACAAATAGGTTAAACCTTAAACTATACAGTAAAACATTAAAGCACAGTATTCTGTAATTGAGTTTTAAAATGATGCAAGGAGATGTTAAACATCTCAAGATCAACGTTACTATTGGCTAATCGTAAGATTCTTGTAATGCAGCAATTGAATGTGTGATTCAAACGATGAAATGGTACATAAAATGTTTGTTCCTGTCGAGTTGAGCGGTTTTGAACATATAGATGAATTTTTTCTAGGAGTTCAGCACAACTAAATTTGCTGTTAATAATGATATTGAATCGAATTTTTTTATCTATTTTCTTGAATAATTATCACCAGTATGTTTACCCACTGTTGAGATTTGTCGAAAATTATTGCTCCACTATCCTTTCCAACAACGGACTTAGTCATATCGCATAAGACTCCTTAAAGCAAAGATAATCACTTTGGTGAAAATGGTACCAGTTTGAGTCATATGGGAAAAACCTATAGAATATGACTGAACAACATGGATTTCTAAACTTTTTATTTTGATATCAACAAAAATTAACATTTTCAAAGAATCAAATGTTAGAATAAAAATTAAGAGTCATCATAAATACAAAAATAAATTATAGAAATAAAATTCCAATTTTAAAATATTAGTACTGAAAAAAATTCTATCTTAGAAGTTATTTTAATAAACCTCCGTAGAAATCAGCAAATAGATCTCAATCATAATATGTTGACAAACAAAATCACTTCGTAGTATTTTTTTACACAAAATACGCTGCCAGCTGCGCCATTTTATCTTTGGGCTGCTTTCCCCTGCCTGCTCTTCCTCTACCCCTACCAGCAGTGACCTTCCCCCCTCTAAAAGTTCGTGGGCGAGTATTAACAGCCACCTTAGGTCTGTCTACTAATCTTGAAAAATCAGGATAACAGAAGACACAACCTTTAGCTTCAGTTGCCCCTTTGGGAAGTTTGGATTTTTCTTGTTTGTATTCTACAGTAACCAGTTGCGATCCACATTCGCAGTTATCTTCGAGGACCGTTATTTTTTGAGCATCATCAAATAAGTTGATTATGGTGTCACACCTAAAAATAAAACCTCGATAGTCACAATGGCTCAAAAAATTCTCAAATTCAATGATTTAGTGTATGTTTGCTATCCGAAGTAATGCAGATCTGAAACACACACTATTCTTTTTTGAAGGCAGACAAACTTATAACTCTCTCAACATTTTCAGGCAACGTAAATGATTTTAAAAAAACGTATTCAAAAAAAACTCACTTCAATGTGTATATAGTATAGCTAAACACGTATCGCAGTTTTGTAAACTCTCAAGTGGAAATCTTACACTGAAGTGTGTTTTTTGAATACAGTATAATAGGTTTTCATCCAGTGTCGGCCAGTTCTATCATATGATTTGAAAACAAAATGTAATATAAGGTATGAGTATCAGTATTGAGGCAAAATTAATTAAATATCAGTGATTTGGACTTCTGATGCCTAAAACATGTTAGCAAATTTAAAATCTACGAGGAGTTGAATGAATAAAGACTTTAATATACCCAAGTGAGATATTCAGATGAGTTAGTTGAAAAATGAAAATAATATCAAGATTATGAAATGAAATGATGGGTGAGAAATACAAAGGTACAAATAAAGAATAAAGTATTTTATGGAGAAAATGAAACAAAATTATTATAACCTGACATGGATGTTCATAAAGTATCTTTACATTTGAGGAATAAATTGAAGGAAATTCGAAATCAATATATTATGCCACAAGGATCATTTTACAATTTTAACAAAATGTTCAACAACATCACATGTTAATGAATTATTTTGATATTTGATTCATTTTCTATGGTAAGTAGATATTTATTTATTCAATTGATACACAAAAATACAGAAAAAAATAAAAACACTAACGAAGAGACATATATAAAGACAGTAATTGCAGTACATAAAGTAAAGATTGTGTATAAAATAGCATCTAAGTGACTCAACACTTGTGTTATGCTACAGAGTAATACTAATTAATATAAAATTACAGTTGTGTACAAAGAATAAGTAAACAATTTAGTGGCAGTAGTGTATCTATCGGTGTTCTAATATTTGGATAAATTTCAAAGTAATTTTCGAAGATATTTTTTTTATTCTATAGAGAAGGTTTTAAAATTTTAATTATTTTCAGAATATAGTTCTGTATTACGTTCAGTTTTTCCAAGGAACTCATATACATTGCTACCCACACCAGAATACCATAACGAAAAAGTGATTCAGCTAGAGATTTGTAAATTATTGAGTATATTTTTCTATATGTGGCTATATGTTCTAAAATATACAAAACTGTCAATACACTAATACAGAGGCATAACGTCTTACAAACAACTGATTCTTCCACTCATGAAAAAACCGAGAGGTCTGACAATCACTTGAAAATTGAATAAGTATTTCACACAATAGGTTACCCCGTAATTTTTTTTTTCAAATATTGATTGGATATATTTACCTATTGCATCCCAATTTCCATTTAGGCCCTGAAGATGGGTCCAAAACCAGTATTCCGAATTCACACTCAGCACAATTACAAATTCCATTGGAATTTAAACTATAAAGGCAAGTAGGATGGGAGCATGAATTGCAACCACTGCCTTTTTTCATATCTCTGAAAAATATTGAAGAATCATAATAAAAAACAAATATATGCAGTTCTCAAATGAATTTGGATGTAGAAAAAGCTGGAGCTAGCAGATAATTCACTGAAATGATATTCATCAAGAGGGTCATTTTGACGATTAATTCAAATCAAAAACCTTTTGATTGAAACTGAAGGTTGTTTAGAATGTCCTACGCACGCATCAAATTTATTGAAAAATTCATCAAGCTTTCATTAGAATTTTGTGATAAAGGAGTGAAGTCACCAAAAAATGTTTCATATAAAAGTTTTCGATACCAATATTTTGGATAAAGATTTTTTTGAAATACTTTCCAATATACAGGGTACACAGTATGAGTGTGGCCTATCAAAGTTAGGTTTTTTTTAAGAAATGACATATAATTGCTTTCCACATTTTTTGAATTCAATAACAGTCTTTGCGTTATCGAAATTGAGTCTCTTGAACAAACTGTTATTGCAAAAATTACTTTTTTTCATACTCCTGAAAAGGTTGATCACCTGAAAAATATGAATTCGTCTGGAACTAATTTCAGTCTAAAATTCTGAATTCGAAGATTTTATTTCAGAAGTTCAATTTTGAAAATATTCATAACTTTCAAACCTCTACGTATGTACCTATACAGCCCAATATTTTTCAAAGGGTTTTTCATTGATTAAAAAGCTACATTCATCTTCATGACAAAACAGACTCTTTATTGAAATTAGGAACGGTTGAATAAATCAACTTTTTGACTTTATTTTTGACATTACTTCTGAACCGCTTGATATATACCCATATAATAATACATTTTTCTAAAATACTTTTCTGGCAACATCTAAATATGAGAAGCAATATATGTCATTTCATTAAAAATAACCCAAATTTAATACATGTTTCTACTGGTTATTCTGTATATTGGATATCTAAGACTCTGAAAACTCTCCTACTTAATTTCAAACTTCTAATGGAAGCTTGATGTGAAAAACACCAAATATTAACCATGATTCATAAGTATAATGTGTTGTATAACCCATTCATATTTAGTTTTGTTCTTTCCTGTTGTAGGTTTGTTGACTTACTGTCATAGATATATCAAAACATGTTGTATTTTATTGTTTTAAAATATTATTGAAATATATCATATACATAGTCATAGATCAAACCAAATAAATAACAAAATAAATCATATGAAAACGAGACTTTCAGCTCAAACATTATAAATTGTTTTACATATCTTCAGGTCGTCTGCAAATAATAAGAAAGAAGGATTGTTCAAGATGTAATTGATAAATAAATTGAAGAGAAAGGCCCAGAGTGAGATCCTTATGAGATTCCAGACTTGACTGTGTTGGAAATTAAACTACTGAGTACGGTTCAACATAGCTCTGACGCCAATATAAAATTATTGGTGTAATGCGATAATACTTACTTGAATGGAGGGTTATTATAGCAATATGGGCAAAAGACGAAGCTTTTGCCTTTATTTCCCATTGTCCAGGAAAGTAACTCAAAATCATCCAATGGACATTTCAACTCCCTAAATATTTTTATTATTCCATTCTGAGGTACATTGAATGTTTCATCACAATGTGGGCAATGCAGTCTGGCAGGTTTAGCTTGAATATATTTCATGTATCTTCGGCATTTGCCACATCTACGATTTGATATCACAACTTTAAACGACTCGAAAGCACTGAATAATTAATACTCAAAAGCTAATAACTACTATAGATTATCTCATAATCTGTTAACCGTGGTCTAAAGATTTTTATGCCAGATGTTTCATCTACAACTGCGGTATATATTATTAAAGTAGTTGATGCAACAGGGGCGGTGCTCATACTAGTCAGTGCATTTACCGTAGATGTAGACGAAACATCAGGCCAATAAAACAGCCAATCACAGTAGAAAAACCCGGAAAATACCTTCAACAGGGTTATGTTTAGATATAAAAGTTTGCTAGGCAATTGTTACCTTGAATGTGCCCTTCCAGTTGCACTTAAAGGTGAAAATGATACTTCGAACAGTTGGTCCATACCATCAATATTTTTCACAAAATATTGAAACTTCAATTTGAAAATCTCCACGGTGTGTTTGAGAACATCGTGAAAATTTGCCTTTCCAGCAGCTATCAGATTCAGTTGTTCTTCTACAGCTGATCTCATTGTTGGCAATACCAACTCCTCATCTATCTAAAAAATCTAGACATGAAAATCTACCCACACGTAATCTTCAAAAATAGTGTTCGGCACACCTCCATTGAATTTTCCTTGAATATTTCTATTTCAAAAGAATCTGAATATGAGGAATACTTTTTTGATTTCACAAATGGAAATTATATTGGGATAAATGACTTTTTAGCCGACGTTAAATGGGAACATATTTTCCGTAACTCAGATGTTGATAACAACATCAATTGTTTTTATGACATTATTTATCAGGTAAACCATCTATTTATTCCTTTGAAAAAATTCAAAACTTCTACCTTTTTCTCTTGGTTCAGTTCTAACCTCAGAAAAATGATTTACGACAAAAAAAACACTCATAAAAAATATAAGGAAACAGGCAACAATAATTCCTATTATGATTTCTGTAGATTAAGGGACAGTTGTAAAGCTATTCAAGATCATTGCTATGAAAATTCTATTAATAAAATTGAAGATAGTATTTCTGATAATCCAAAGGCCTTTTGGGGTTATATTCAGAGTAAAAGGAAGGATTATAGGTTACCTTCAGCCATGTTTTATGAAAATGAAGTCTGTAATAATACTTCTGAAATGGTCAATTTGTTTGCCTCTTATTTTTCAACTGTATATAATAACCAGACAGTGAATTTTACCCCTGAATATAATTTTGAAAATAAAGTATATATCAACAATTACAGTATTACTGCTACGGACATAATAGATTACATTCTCTCCGTTTCACGTAAGCTCACAATGGGACCTGATAGGACACCTTTATTTTTTATACGCAAATGTCTAATACACTTTAGCAATCCCATTACGAAACATCTTCAATCAAATTTTTTCTCTAGGCACCTTTCTAGATTATTGGAAACATAGCTTCCTGAACCCATACATAAACTAGGTGATAAGAACAATATTAGGAATTATAGAAAAGTTGTCATTCAGTCAGAGATGGTTAAGATGTTTGTTTCTATGCTTACAAAAAAACTTTCTTGGGACTGTAAGTCTTTACTCAGTTCCCAACAACACGGTTTCTCAAAAGGTAAATCCACTTGTACCAACCTTGCTCTTTAAACAAACTACTTAACTGAAAATCTCGAGAGGAGGCTACAAGTTGACTCAGTCTATACTGACTTTTCCAAAGCCTTCGATAGAGTCAACCACGGCCTACTTATATCTAGAATTCAAGCGCTTGGTATAGGCGGGAATGTTTTGCAAGTAAGTATGTACATTATAGTATGGGTCCCATGTAACCGAAAAATATTCAAGAATGGATCTTACGAAAGCACAATATAAAATCTTTTTTGTTTTAATTGAAAAAACAGTACAAATTCTCAACACAAAACCCAGCATTTTGAAAATTTTTCCCACAATTTCTGATACTTGAAGATTAAAATTAATTTCGCCATCAAATTCAACTCCCAGATCGCGAATAAATGTTTCTCTTTGAGGAGCTATATTATTCAATGTATATTCAAAGAATATTGGATTTCTAATTTTAGCGAACTTAATGATTTGACACATCAATGTGTATCTAACAAATTATTTCTACACCACATGGAAAAGGCTTTGAGATCTTTTTGAACTAGTTCAGCATCTTCCCGGCAAGTAATTGGTCGATAAAGTTTGAGATCATCAGCAAACATAAGAAATTCTGAATATTTGAAAACAAACTCTATGTTTGATACAAACAAGTTGAACAACAGTGGGTCCGTATGGGATTCCTGCGGTACCCCTGATGGAACCTGAATGGGCGTAGATGTATCTCTGTATTTTACAGACAGAGTTCTACATTAAACATTTAATGTATAAATTTGAAAATATCCTTATAGGACGAAACTGCAGTAACGTTAGTGACAAATAAAAGTGGTAAAAAGCATAGAAATTTTTCAATTATCTTTTCTTCATTGTGATTTCCTACCACGTAATGGCTACATCCATCCATTATTATTATTACAAAAACTACAAAATCGAGGCATGAGAGTGATTTTGAAATGCAACCAGTATACCAGTATAACATTTATGCTGGATGCTCTACAGTGGTTCGCAGTAGAAGACAGGTTGTATAAAGCAGCAATGATATTTATTTTCAAAACTGTTAATAATATGCTACCATCATATTTCAGTGAATTTATTACATTTCGAAATAGCACACATAATTATAATACAAGACAAATCAATTATTTTCATTTGCCAAAATGCAATCTAACAAGTTCAATGAAAATATTATTTTATAAAGGCTTAAATCAATTTAATAAATTACCTCAAGACATAAGGACAGATTAAATAATTATATAAAAATGAATAATATTCAACGATATTGAAGTGACTAGATATATGTGTATGTATATATATATATTTGTTAGTATATAGGTCTGACTTAGAGTTAGATTTAAGTTGTCCTTGTATATGTATTATTAAACCAATGTATTGATGTAATGTTTGTATATTAGGATTAATGAATAATATTCAACGATATTGAAGTGACTAGATATATGTGTATATATGTATATATATTTGTTAGTATATAGGTCTGACTTAGAGTTAGATTCAAGTTGTCCTTGTATATGTATTATTAAACCAATGTATTAATGTAATGTTTGTACATTAGGATTTCCTTCCTATTCAAATAAATTCATTCATTCATCTAAAAGGCGCATGCCATAACAGGAACTTCTGGGAAGTTTTGAAGGATTTTTTTGTGAGAGAGACTATTATAATTTATTAGAGTACTAACAAGAAACTTTTTAATTCCACTTGTGTCCGACTCTCAATAAATTTTATGTAATCAATATTGGAAATTTTTAACATACATTCTTATTGGCTATTTTTCTAAAGTGTTGTATTGTGCTATGTAAATACAAATTGTTTCTGTTATCTTTTTCTGTCCGATTTTGTTATATATACATATATTCATTATTTACTTGAAAATTTTATTCAACACACTAGCAATGTATATTATTTTATAGTGTATAGTTTTATCTGACTAAGTAGCGATAGCTAATATGTTTAATTTTGTTAATTTGTTTTTTTTTTAATTATTTTAACCAAGCTTTATCAATAAGATATGAATCTTCAGACAATAAAGCATATTTTGACTTTGACTGATACTGCAAAAATCTTCAAAGAATGACCATTATAGTCAACATACCTTCTGATATCCATGTACTAAGACAATGCCAAGCGTTGTTGGTTTAAGTTTTCTTCCAGGTGTTACTGTAACATAATTTCTTTGGCAGATGTTATTGATATGAACCGGTATAGAAGCATCGGTTCCAATCCCGTGTTTTTCCATTAAAGTAATAAGTTCAGCTTCCGTTAGGTAATCAGGAGGAGATGTCTGGTGTTCGGAAAGTTTTGCCTCCTTTATAGGAACAGTTTCATTTTCATGGAGATTAGGGACGATTTCGTTTTTCCCGAAAGCCTATAATATACAAGATATAAATGTATCAGAACAACACAGTAATATGTAGTTATGTAAATACTAGAAAATACATGTGGTGACTGAATTGAATATGAAACGTATGACAAACATATGTCATTTGGTATTTCGTGTATTTTCAAATAAATACATTCAGAATATTTAGCTTCATATGGTGAATTTTCATCTGAATATTTGCCATACCACAAGTTAACCACTCGCTAGTGTTTAAGTTTATTTACCTGCCAAGTCATAATAGTTGTGAAGCCTGGATCTAAAAGAGTTTTACCAGATACCGTAAAAACCTCATCGTTGATTATGATTGTGGCTGTGGTGGTGAGATATTTACAGTCTTTGGCCAAAGTCCCAATGAAATGTCTCGTTATGTAGTCATATAGTTTCCATGAATCACCATCGAGCTCGTTTCGTGAAGCTGCTTTCATAGGAGTGATAGGAGGATGGTCACCTTGAATAGTAAAGCAGATGAATATCGTATGGAGTAGAAACGAGTGATAATCGTTAACCCATTTGTTCCTACATTTGTGTTAACCCAACGTCGAAATAGGAATGTTATTTCATATCTACAAATGATTTTTCTTACAGAATTTCATTAGAATTACACTACTATATGTTTGAAAAATGTGATTTTTTTTTGTACTATTACCACACTCAATTTGAAGTAAATTTAAAATTTACCAAATCACAATTCTAAATAGTCTTCTTTATAAAATATGGTTCATAATTTTTATGTATGGAACAATTTTTTTTCAAAATACATTTTATATAAAAATAAATCAAAAATAATAAATACATCTGTTATAGAAAAATTTCTTGGTGGCTTCAAAATATCATGTTTTGAAAACGCAACATATGAAATTTTGGTTTAAGCAAAATTCCTGTTGAAATTTTGTTAATGCACGTTTAAACAGTTGATTCGTGCAAGTATGAGGGGAGAGTAATGATCCAAAAATACCTCTGACTCGGAAAGAACGTGAGAAAATTATTGAAGACCTCGACCGCCCGATGTTGATGATCTTATGTATAAGGAAGCAATGCCTGAGGATGGTAGGATGGTATAGGCGAACCACAAAATTTACTCTCAGATATGGCCAGGACTTTCTAAATTATGCAAAAAGTTGATGAAATTGGGATAGTAGATAAAACCGAATTGAAGAGCCCGAAGGGAAGATGACAAAAATTAGTGTAGAACATCTAGTGACTATGAAAATAATGCTAACTCAAAACTAATAGATGTAAATATTATTGAGATTTCAGAAAGAAAATCTGTGCTGGATTTTGTATGCAAACGTTTGATAAAAAAGTTATTATTTTAGGTTCTATCAAATACTTCAGTTCACAATTTGACATAGACCAATGCTGAATACTGCATACTAAAGTGTGTATCACACTTTATCACTGTTAACATTTTACTGGTCTCTGATGAAGATAAGGACGTTCGACAAATGTCCAGAAATGAGATAGATAATAACAAAAGACAAGTTTGCAAATGTTTAACCATATTTCTATGCCAAACCATTACATTAAAACTATTTAACAGCAGAGTCGGGATTCCGTCCTTCCAACTCAGAAAGCGAGTAACACAACGTTCATAATTTTAATATTTCAAAGAAAATTTTCCAAATTCTAAATAAAACTGCTTTTTTAGTTTTATTTAAATCATTGCCTAGACCAGGGGTCTTCAAACTACGGCCCGCCAGTGTCATCAATCCGGCCCGCGACAGCCAATGATTTACTGTCATCAATCTGACCCGCGACAGCCAATGATTACCTAATTGTTGTTACTATTGCTGTGATAAGTTGAAGAAGAAAACACAGAATGATAATTACTCAGTTTTATTTACTTGCAAGGTAAAACTTAACGACAGAAATGATGACAAAGAAAACTCAACTTAAGTATCCAAGTTAAAGCATATTAATAACTAACAAATAATTGAAATGAATCAAAGTAAAACAAAAACACTAATGAGATTTATGTAATTGTGATTTTTCACCGACAATACTTTGTAGTTGTGGATCAATTTTTACTTGTACCAATTATCAAAAGATATTTAAAATGCTCATCGGTGAATTGAGATCTGTAGACATTCTTTGTGTACTTCATCTTGGAAAACGTTTTCTCACACAAGTAAGTAGTACCAAAAACAGAAAACAACCCACGAGCAAATTTATGCAAATTATCANCTGTCGATTTTTCGCTTCTTTTCCGTACTAACAAATCACACATAAAAACAATAAGTCAAATCAAAATACTTTTATTGACGGGTGTTAACTTTATTTCACAATAGACAGTTTCGCTTCCTTCGCCTTTCCTACGCAGACTAACTCGCAGTTGCGCCGCTAGCCTTTTTATATGCAATAATCACCGCCATCTCGAGGCGATCAAAATACACTAGCTAGAACCAGAACTTTCTCGAACCAACGCGGTAATTCCAAATATTTAATTGCGCCTAATACCACCTAGCGGCTAGCTGAAAAAGATAATACATAGTACCACTACCCGCCACTAGATGTCGTTAAGTGTCACAATACACAATAATATTTGAAATGCAAAAAAAACGTAAGTGTACTTAGGTCACGCACTTTGCGACTATCCTAGTCTAGAAATATAGTTAAGGGCAGACATTGGACCTTGGAACAAACTAAAAAAAATATTATGGTCCGAAGGCTTCAAAGTTTGGAGACCCCTGGCCTAGACAGACCCATGAAAGAATAAAGGTGACTAAGAACATTACCTGCATCATGTCCGCTTTTTGGTCGGTTTACACCATTATTTAAAATCTGCCTTACTTCATCTCCCCAATCGGAACTATTTTGCTGTTGTCTCAATACACCACTATAAAAAAAAGTATTGAGAGGAAACATTCTGAAATTTTCTTGAGTCACACTCTTACATCAAATCGAAATTTTCAGGATACCTAGTAGTTTCTGTACGAGGATAACTGATGTATCCTTGAATGTACAACTTTTCCGCGATTTGCATAGCATGATGGGGACCCATTCCCAAACCAGAACTTGCTACTCTCATAAGTTCAACCGTATTCAGAGCTGAAGGTCGAGGTTTCGATTTTTCTTTGGAAATCACACTCACTACTCTGAAAATAAAATAAAACGTGGAGTACCTAACTTTGGTTTGATTTGAACTAAACATTATATTACAATAATATGTAAAATTTGGAAGAATATCCAATATAATTAGGTTAAAGGAACATATTTGGTGGTTCATTGAATTTTTTGGAGACTTTTTGAAAAAAATAAAAATTGTAATGGAATTATACAGATGCGGAAAGGACAAACTTCTAGTCCTCCTCGATTTCGGTAACAAACTCCAAACTTGATCTTCACTAAACAGGCAAAAACTAGTCTGAGTCGCGTATTTTGTTGTGAAATGTTTTCTGTCGTTCCCACTGCATAAAGTTTTCATCCTGCCTTCTCTAGACGATATTTTTATAATAGCCTGCGGTTTTTTTAATTGAATCTTATGAGTGAAAGAGGCGAAAGCGAAAAAAAAACAAGATACTGGATGAGAGTACTGTTAAGAAGACAAATAGATTCTGGAAAAGATAAAATTATGGCAGATCTGATAAATGATGACATAGGAATGAATGGAGAACCGAGATATCGAAATTTATACCCACCACAGATTAACACTTCAAATAAAGTATCAATGACACATGAAGTCACACACCAAAGCTAAATAGTGAACTGAATAGTTGCTTGTTGTTGCCTACCGTTTCTACATAACGAACTCTGTTTACAAAAAGACAGACAAAATACCAAAACCTTGATCTTTCCGCCTGCCAGCGGGACATCTCGTTGTTGACAAAAACAGTCGACTGCAACACAAAGTTTTCAAAATTTTTCTTATTTTGACAACTCAAGGTTATAATTGAATAGAACTGGCCGATACTTGATGAAAATCCATATTTAAAAAACTAATAAATAGAGTTTATTCTATGATTTTCACTATAAGGGTTTTACAAAAACCGCGACACATGTTTCGCTATACAATAGCATAGAATAAACTCTGTTTATTAGTTTTTTAACTGGCCGATACTTGATGAAAATCCATATTTAAAAAACTAATAAATAGAGTTTATTCTATGATTTTCACTATAAGGGTTTTACAAAAACACGTGTCGCGGTTTTTGTAAAACCCTTATAGTGAAAATCATAGAATAAACTCTATTTATTAGTTTTTTAACTCAAGATTATGTTTTGTTGAAATCGAGACAGTTGCTGGTTTCAACTCTTTTTTTTTTTCTCTTACTTTTTTTCATCATTTATCTTAATGGATTTTCTTTTTTAATTCTCTCTTTAAATCAGGTGAATAAGATCAGGTTAAGTTATGAGGTTACACTGGGATATGGAGAATTCAGAGGTTTTCTTTATTAAACGTCTAAATTTTCAGTTTGAAGTCGGAATTTCCAAATTACATTATAGAAAGTGAGGTTAAGATTTTTCCCCTTCCAAATATCATGGGAGCTGGTTTCAACACTCGCGAGAAGTTCGTTTAGGGTCATGTTTATTTGTAATTTCTGAAATTTTTCCTTCCTCGTATATATTTCTATGGAACGGAATATATAACGTTGTTATATATTGTTGTAAATCATGCCCTAAAGAAAATAACGCCGACCGCCACTGGTATGAACCAATTGTGACGTGGCTAAGAGCGCGCCCAGTCCTACCACCTTTTCGCAAATGTTCGATGTTCGCTGCCGTTCTAGATGTGGCGAGAATAATGCCATCGACTTCCATGGAATTCCGAGGAATTTTCTACGGCCTTCAATTGCCAAATATAAACACGATCCACTCGCCTATCGAGACAGGGAAGTTTCGCGGACAGTGCGGTGCAAACCGATCTTATTAGGCGATAGACATTTGAATAATAGTTGAAGTTTTAGTTAAAGTGTTTTGTTAATAATGAAAAAAAGTTCAGTTTGATTATTGTTCAGTGTAGTCAATTATTGGTAAACCCGCGGAAAAACGTAACAATATAATCACATCTGCTCAAGTCTCTACAGGTAAATTCAAATAATCTATGTGCAGCTTAATTTGATGAAAGATCGAAAAAAGAGCTTATTTTTAATACATTTCTCCTGAATATAAAATAATCTAGTTATAGTTACAAAAAATTTGAAGAAAATAGTGATATCAAAATAGTTCATTTTTAATTACTACGCCGGGATTAGAGCCACTGAATTTTTCTTGATAGGTAATAGAGCCACTACTAGAGGAGAATAAATTATTACATGTTACCACTACATGTTTAGTAAATTTGAGTATAAATAAAATAAGGAGCGTATGTTACTTGTGTTGTATGAAAGGAGAGAAGTTTAGCACTCCCCTTGACAAGGATGGAATTATACACATATATGGTTAAGGCACACTTAACCGCCATTTTTTTAACGTTCAATTCTTCCCAATTTAAAAGTTGCAAGATTCTTTAAAGAGTCAAGTGAAACTGGAAAAGTGATATGATATGAAAAATCAAAGATTGACTTGAAAATATAATACTCTCCGGTAGAAGAATTCTAATAGATTATTTTAAATTATGAAAAGTACCTATTTTTCAGCAGAATCATTTTTGAGAAAAAACGTTTTTGGCTCTAACGTCGTACTTAATACCTATACTTTGACTACTGTTCCTCTATTCTATATCTATTCAATCAGAATAAATTGTCTCAACTCCAAAAACTTCAGAATTGTGGTATGAGGATCATTTTGAAGTGGCGTAGAGATACCCCTATTACTATCATGCTTAATGCTTTAAATTGGCAATCCATTTCCCAAAGACTATTATATTTCACAATGATTTTTGTATACAAAATATTGAACAATTAAGGATCATCTTATTTAGAACAGTACATTGTCTTTCATCATGATATTCACCACCACTTCACTCGAAATAATAATAATTTATTTATAAACTGAACAAAAAACAAAAACACCAGGAATTCTTTGTTTTTCAAGGGTTTTGATCGGTTCAACAAATTACAGAATGTAATTAAAAATAGCCCATCTCTGAACATGTTCAAAAACGTGCTGAAGAAATTTGTTTTCAATGTACAAGTATGATATGTATTATGTTAAAATGATGGATGTAGCCGTTACTACGTGGTAGTAAATCATAATGAAGAAAACAGAAATGAAACTTTCTATGTTTTTTACCACTTTTATTTGTAACTAACGTTACTGCAGTTTCGTCCTATACGGATATTTTCAAACTTATACAATATATAACAACCAACTTATACATTTAAAAATGTCCGTGTAGGACGAAACTGCAGTAACCTTAGTTACAAATGAAAGTGGTAAAAAACATAGAAAGTTTCATTTCTCTTTTCTTCATTATGATTTCCTACCACGTAGTAACGGCTACATCCATCAATATATAAGTTTGTTGTTATATATTGTATAAGTTTGAAAATGTCCGTATAGGATGAAACTGCAGTAACGTTAGTTACGAATAAAAGTGGTAAAAAACATAGAAAGTTTCATTTCTCTTTTTTTCAATATGTATATGTGTTTGTTACCTGTAAATACAATTTTATTTATTGAGATATTATCATGCCTATCTTATAGATCAACTTTAGAATGTATTCACCTGATGTTTGTCATATATTTTTTAAATAATTCCAATATGTAACAAATTTGTAACAAAAATATTAGAAATGTATGTGAATTAGGATTTTTCTATTTCAAATAAAGATTATTAAAAGGAATGAAAACTTAAAACTGAAAAATAACAATGAAAGCTCTTTATCAACAATATTTTTCACAATTTCAAAGACACATTACTGTTATTCTTACAAACTCATTGAATATTTAAGTAGTTTCAAAATATGTTGTTTTGAAAATAATGGTTTAGTATTATCTCTATGCTTCACATCAGTTTTCTTTTTAGTAAATTATTAATTTCTTTCACTGTTAATTCAAATATAATTCTTTTTACACATACACCTCTACAGTACTTAATTGAACAGTAAAAACTTACTTTGCCTGTTTTTGATCCTTCACAAGCTGCAAAAACAAATTAGCTACTTCTTTGTCAAAACTCCTAACCCTCTGCCAATCTAATGTTACATCCTGATTGTCGGTAGTTTTAACAGTAACCTGAACACACCAATACGTTTCTGGCTTGAATGTTTGTATGGCATCATGTCTCTGAACACAAAAACCAAGGGTTGGAGTTTGACACGGTCCATAAGATATGAGTGATGAGTCAAGATCTCCATAACGCCCTTGAAAAAACCTAGTTTGAAATCTTGTAAAAGCACATCCTATTCGGAGATCTAGTTCCTGTCGAGCGTCAACGCTTTTAGCTTCATTCTCATTTGGGTGACCTTGAAACAAAAATTACAATAGTTTTGTGCGAAACAATAATTGCTGGAGCAATTTGTTTCATTGTTTTCCAAAATATTCACCTTTAGGATTATTACACTTATGCATGCGTTCAACCAAATCTCAAAACAATTTTTCCTCTCAGAAGTTGATAACTCAAACAAATTATTTTGGAAAGCTTCTGGATGTAATAGAAATTGCTGTTCATAGATTTTTTGATAATAGGTAAAACTAAAACCTCTGGAGTAAATCTAACCAAGGTAACACTTACATCTGGTACTCTGGGAGAAGAGAATGTTTGAAATTTTCATTCAGAATATTCATTTTTTTTATTCATAAAATAGTTTATATACCAATCTACTATACAACTTAATTGAACTCAAGTTTTAAGAAAATAGAAAATGATAATGTACATAAAACTGAAAATAAAAGTACACATAATCCATAAGTAAATAACCACAAACCCAATGAATTGAATGCAGCTTTAATATCCTTCTCCGTTATAGCGGAAAATTTAGCACGATAAGTCACCTTATCGGAATATACACTTCCCAATACACTACTCGCGACTGCACTCATTACTTCAAAACAAATATTTTCGCCTTCTTTATCGCAGTCAAGCCATAACACAAGATTTTCAGCACCTTTGGCCTCTTGTGCTAGAAATGAAGGCATTTTCAACTTTGGCATTGCTTCTTTTTTCTCAATAGGGCATGAAAAGAGTTCAACAGGATCAACCCTGTCCCAATTATTGTATTTACTAATGAAATCTACACCAAAAACGTGTCCACAAACAGATGTCATTTTAAATCGAGCCGGAGCACCTAAAAAGGTGCCGTTCCATTCGTGAATAGAACAGGCTCCATTGAAACCTAAAACAATTATTGTGTATTATACAATAAACAGTTTTCTTATAAATTTTATATAAATTACCCTTTTTACTTGTATTATTCCCATTACTGAGAATGTTGGCTAAAGAAGCTGCCAAAGACGGCTTCTCAGCCAAAATATAATAAATTTTTCAAAGGATCCCATACAAATTCTATTTATTTAGAGTTCAAACCTAACCAAATTAGACAATGACAATACTGCTCACTTATCATTTTCTTCTTCTCATTTGTCACAGAACTTTGCGAATGTGCAAATTTCTATTTCTACCATCCTTAGGCATGGTTGCCAGTGTCATTACATCGTAATGAATCTATTACTATTTAATATTATTATTACGTTGTTGAGCAGAAACAATCTATTACTTTTTCATGACTCGATTATTCTAATCATTTTGACGGTATTTGCCATTGCCAAAGCACAGATTAGTCAGAAATTGAACTAAAACTCTAAGCTAAGCACACATTATTTGAGATGTAGCAACTTCCTCGTGTGTTTCTGTCGATGGCTTAGCTGTTGATGATGTCTATGTGAAATTTTATCGGTATTTTCAGTTCTTACAAGAAATTTATGAAATGGATTGAATATTGATTCAAATGTATGACGGAATTTCATTTTACTACTCACTCGTCCAGCAAATCTAATGTTTGTTTTAAATTCTTCAGGTAATCAACGGATATTAAACCTGATGCTTTCAGTTGTAGGTGGTGCGTGTGAAAATAATAACCCAACTGTGAGGGTGTAATTTGACAAAAGTTCTCATACAAATTTTATAAATTCGGAGACTAATTACCACCGAGATATTTCTTAACCATACGCCGCATGAAAAATGGGACGAACAATTTTCGTTTTTGGAAAAGTAATCTGTCTTACTAATATTATCATCATCATTATGAATAACTCCCCAAACGCTAGCAACACTTATGAACATTCATAAAAACCCAATTAGAATCATAATTATTAAAAATAATATAATTGACTTCAGTTATAGTCAAAGATTCTAAACAGATTTGTCTACTAGATACTGACAAGGATATGCTTTTTGGCAGTTCTAAAAATTCGACATTTTAAATTTTGTGTTATGAAGAAAATAAAGGTTCATTCGTAATTCCAAGCAGTTTTCAAAACGTGGTCAAGCAGACAAGTGCATGTAAGACCATTTTCAAATGCAATCCACTATTCTCTAGTCTGATCAAATAATATCAATAAATTAGTGAGCCACTTCGTTTTAAAGGATTCACAAAACTAAAATCACTGTTTGAGCCATGTATGGTCATAGTATTCATTTGTATTTTAAAAATAACTTGTTTGCTATACTGCTCAAGTAAGTTGAGAGAGTCTAAAAAGGGAAAAGAATGAAGATACTATCAAGGTTTTTTTATAAAGAATTTATTCAATAAAAAATCAACATATTTTTTTAATGACCATTGATTTGGTAAAATACGTACATTATCCTGCTCCTACCCCTTGAGCACTGGTAAATCTCATCAAATGAAGGTCAGGAGAGGGAAAAAAATTGAAACAAATTCATGCTGAATAATATTTAAAGTAGAAATTACATTTTGGTATCAAAAGTAAAAAAGTAAGGAAAAGTATTGGTCTGGTGTATGGCAAAATAAGGAGTCTACTGTAGTACCTCGATGCTAAAATACTTAACACTAACCTAAAAAATAAATTATAAACTGTACAAAAAAATTGCATTATTCTCGTTTGTCCAAGAAATATGCGGTTTGGTCTATTCCGATAAAATGGCAAATGTTTCCTCCAAGATAAAATAAAATGGCAAAAATATTAAAGTAAATGTATGTTCTCAACTGTCAGAAGTCATGGACTCAAATGCCAGAACCCACGGACAACTGCAATTTTCCAACGGCACTCCAGTTGGACGTTCAAGGTATTCCAATAATCTTTTGTTTTACTTTGGTTAAAAATCCTGTTCAAAATCCTTGTTTATTATCGAGTAACTTGTCAATAGCCTGACAAGTTCCCGTTGACAATAGTTGTGATATACAGTGTGTCACATTATAGATTTGTATTTTTGCCGAGATCTACACTTTTCAAGACTCAAGTACTAAAATTGAATAAAATTAAATAATGTATTTGTAATGAATTTGTATATATATATACCATAGTGTAGAAAAAATTAAAAAATGCAAATTGTGTCCTCAAACACAATATTATATAGTCAGAATAATATTCTGAACAACATATTTTATATTTCTAAAGTGAAGTAAACTATCAAGAATTAACGATGTTAGGGAATTCTTGGTAAGTCATTTTTGAAGTTCAGATTTCATCTTAGAGTCCTGGAAAATGTGACCAGCCATTGTGGAAATATCCAAATTTGTACTCCTTCAAATAGCAAAAAACTGTGGGTGTTTTCAATCGACAAAATAAGCGTGCTTCAATGAAATTAGGAATACCTCAAGAAATACAGAACGTGAAAAAAATTGATGAATAAAAATGTCAATAGGCATTTGTTAAATGAAAAAGTCAAACAATAAAGCACAAATCTTACTGAATAGTTCACAGGAAAGATTATCAATAAAAAAGTTGAAGAGAAAATGTTATTAAAAATAATCATTGTATCAGATAATCAACTAAAACTATGGAAAGTGATGTTTTAAAAAGTCAAACAATAAAGCCCTATTCTTACTGAATAATTTAAATGAAAGATCATCAATAAAAAACTTGAAGAGAAAATGTTATAAAGAATCATATAAGATAGTCAAACAAAAACAATGGAGAGTGTGTCTTAAAAAACCACTAAAATAAACTCAAGGCAAAAAATAATTGCCTCTTCATAAAATGTTTCTTCTGAATACTCTTAAAATAGATAAAAAATTCTGATGTATTCAAGACACTTCATTCGTCATATAATTATTTTATCATTTGAGCTCGATATATACCCCATGAAACTCGAGTTAGGAAAAATCATTTGAACATTATCTTATTGACAAGTTACTCGATAATAAACACGGATTTTGAACAGAACTTTCGATCAAACTAAAACATAAGATTATTGGAATACCTTGAAACAAAATATTGGCTTTATAAAAAGCTGAATTAAGTCTGGCAATTCAGGGATCCTAGACTGAAAAGAGTTCTTGAAATATGTGCACCTAACGAATATGTTCAAAAGAGATTCTAAAAATAGTAAAAATCAAGGCACATTAAAAAGGTACCAAGTTACTGGGAACAGTCTTCAGGTAAAGTGTTTCTAAAACATACGAAATTATTGTCCAAAAATTGGAGATTCGTTTGGTTTCAATGTAGATACATGCATGAACTTTTGCGACTTGTATTTGTCTTGAATGGCGTGTTGTGGATTAGTGGAAGCACCGGCAAACATGCTTGTCAAAAATTCGATACAGGGCTGAAGCTCGCCAAGATTGTAACCTGTGGACTCGCACAGTTTGTCGCTCCATAATTCTTTCTCCTTCAAGGTGTGTCTGGCAATAGCAATGGCGGAAGCTGCTATCACTGAAGGTAAAAAGTCCAGGCAGATGTCTCCGTTGAGGAGAGCTAGTTCACTCAGATACTGGAAAAAATCATCACAATTAAATAAAATTTAATGCACGGGTAATATCCAATTTAAAATTTTGTGTTGCAGTCTATGAATACGGATGTAAATTACAACTAACTGATCACTACATGTCATGAAACAAAGTCCCCTGCTGCCCAATAAACTCAAAAAGTATAAAATAGTTATCAAATGCTTTGAAGAATGGTTCAAAAATATGCCACAGCACCTACATTATAACAAAATATTTCATTGGAGTTCTTCAAATACTGGATTACGTAGATCAATAAAACACAATTATATTATATTTTGAATAACTGAATACTTACCATGGAGAGATACATAGTTTTTTCACTCAATCTGTTGGTGACACAAGTTGCAGTGATGAAGCTAAGAGGCGTCGGAACAGAAAGATCAAATCCCAATACTTTCAGGATCAAATGTTCCATACGGATCACCTGTCTTTTGTTGTAAGTATCATCTGTTATGTACACAAATTCACTAACATCTGGTGGGTAGATTTCCTCATATTTGCTGAAAAATTATTTGATACAAAATTATTAAAAATCACCAAAGCGATGCAGACAGTAATGGAGAAAAAGAAATTACTATTTATCAGAACTTATCATACTTAATAATTTTATCTATAAAAAAATGAAGATACTCATATAACGGAGGCTGAAATTTGCCTAGGTCTTCAGAATTGTAAAAATTACAAATAATGACTCTTGTTTAATAATGCAGACTGTACTATCATTTAGACGAATCTGATTTTTATGAATTATTAAAAGTTATTTGTTAACATTCTTTTGTTAAATGACATCAACTGCGATCATTTTTTGCTTAAAAGGGTCATAACTGGTGACCGAATCATGGGTATATGGTTATGACATCCAAACCAAAGTCCAATCGTCCCAATGGAAAAGCCCAGGAGAGCCAAGACAAAAAAAGCACATCAAGGTTTTGTACACTGTTTTCTTAGATTACCTTTGCATAATGCATCAGGAGTTCTTGCCATATGGCCGTATATTTTGTGTTAAAATCACTGTTGCCAAGCATGAAAAGCCAAAAACACATTGAAACATATACAAAACCATTTTTACATGAATATGTTCAATTATTATCTTGAGAAACTGTTTTTAAATAACACTCTTCCAGTGAAATTTGAAAGAAATATTCACATTGTTAACCAAAAATCAATAATACTAATGAAGCCATCCACTTTCGTCATATAAATACTTCATCTCCCATTGAAAAAATTATTGAGACATCGGTATATGAACAATAGATTGATTACATTGAAAGTAATAAACTGATTATGATGAACCAATCCGGTTTTCGATCTAAACACTCATGTGTCAATAATAGTGTACCTCAAGGTAGTATCTTGGGCCCGCTTCTGTTTGTTCTTTACATTAATGATATCAACTTTATTAATGGACGTGAATTCATCAACCTATTTGCAGATGATACTCTGATTGCAGTGAGTGAACCTGAATTACAAACAGCTATCAATAAAATTAATGATATTATGATCAGAATATCTGAATTCCTTAACATTAATAAAATCAAGCTCAATGTCAATAAAACAAAATCAATGATAATTACAACAAAACATAATTCAATTGACAAAACATCTATAAGTATAAAATTGTTTTCCATCACCAAATTCATAATTACCCCATTAGGGGGAATTCTAATTTATATGTACCACGTTTGAACTTTACACAATCCATGAACTCCTTATTCCATAAAGATCTATTGGGTTACAATAACCTCCCGCCTGAGATAAAACAAAGTGAATCTATTATGACATTAAAAAAAGGACTTACAAATACAACATCTACATTAAAGTTGATATTATAATAACATATATATCTAGTATTCGTAATTTACATTGTTATTTTTTCCATTTATTGAATGCTTGGATAATTCGAGCATACATATTTTAGTGTTATGAAGTTGGACTGTGACTTTGTCTATCCAATTTTAAAATGTTTTTGTATATTAGGATGCCTATTCGAAATAAATATTATTATTATTATAAAAAAATAATCAAGATCCCAAAAAATAGATGGTGACTGACTCAACAGATATGTATGATAATATAGAGTATTATAATATGTCAATTAAATATTTGAAAATTACTCACGCAGCTAGAAACATTGCAGCAGTTCCCACCAATTGCAACTTTGCCCTCACCACAGACATGTAGCTCAGGAAACGATCAATATAATTAACAGCAAGAAATAATGTTTCTGTGTGGAATTTGTATTCTTCGGCAACTTCGACTAACCAATCCACCAAAATGGTCCTCATGCTTGAGGTGACATCTGGTTGTTTCTTCATGTAGCCAGGTTTTGGTCTATGTCGTAGCTGAAAATCAATGATTCATTGAAAATATTGAAAATTCAACAAAAATTTGTCTGCCTGCTCTCATCCTCTCATTTTTTTACTTTACAAGTTTGTTTTTCGAAACACTATCCACAAATTACTCCTCTTACTCAACTCTGGCTGTAGCTTAGCACATAAGATAAAAACAAGTATCTCGAAAATATATCACCAGTTAATAGATGAATGCAAACATTTTCAGCTCAATTAAATTTTAACAAGAAGGATATTATGCAATGTTTCAAGTAAGAAAAAAATTACAATATTAGGAAAGATATAAATAATTTGGAGTTTCACATATATAAATATATACCTACAAGTTTTAAGAAAATAGAAAATGATAATGTACATAAAACTGAAAATAAAAGTACACATAATCCATAAGTAAATAACCACAAACCCAATGAATTGAATGCAGCTTTAATATCCTTCTCCGTTATAGCGGAAAATTTAGCACGATAAGTCACCTTATCGGAATATACACTTCCCAATACACTACTCGCGACTGCACTCATTACTTCAAAACAAATATTTTCGCCTTCTTTATCGCAGTCAAGCCATAACACAAGATTTTCAGCACCTTTGGCCTCTTGTGCTAGAAATGAAGGCATTTTCAACTTTGGCATTGCTTCTTTTTTCTCAATAGGGCATGAAAAGAGTTCAACAGGATCAACCCTGTCCCAATTATTGTATTTACTAATGAAATCTACACCAAAAACGTGTCCACAAACAGATGTCATTTTAAATCGAGCCGGAGCACCTAAAAAGGTGCCGTTCCATTCGTGAATAGAACAGGCTCCATTGAAACCTAAAACAATTATTGTGTATTATACAATAAACAGTTTTCTTATAAATTTTATATAAATTACCCTTTTTACTTGTATTATTCCCATTACTGAGAATGTTGGCTAAAGAAGCTGCCAAAGACGGCTTCTCAGCCAAAATATAATAAATTTTTCAAAGGATCCCATACAAATTCTATTTATTTAGAGTTCAAACCTAACCAAATTAGACAATGACAATACTGCTCACTTATCATTTTCTTCTTCTCATTTGTCACAGAACTTTGCGAATGTGCAAATTTCTATTTCTACCATCCTTAGGCATGGTTGCCAGTGTCATTACATCGTAATGAATCTATTACTATTTAATATTATTATTACGTTGTTGAGCAGAAACAATCTATTACTTTTTCATGACTCGATTATTCTAATCATTTTGACGGTATTTGCCATTGCCAAAGCACAGATTAGTCAGAAATTGAACTAAAACTCTAAGCTAAGCACACATTATTTGAGATGTAGCAACTTCCTCGTGTGTTTCTGTCGATGGCTTAGCTGTTGATGATGTCTATGTGAAATTTTATCGGTATTTTCAGTTCTTACAAGAAATTTATGAAATGGATTGAATATTGATTCAAATGTATGACGGAATTTCATTTTACTACTCACTCGTCCAGCAAATCTAATGTTTGTTTTAAATTCTTCAGGTAATCAACGGATATTAAACCTGATGCTTTCAGTTGTAGGTGGTGCGTGTGAAAATAATAACCCAACTGTGAGGGTGTAATTTGACAAAAGTTCTCATACAAATTTTATAAATTCGGAGACTAATTACCACCGAGATATTTCTTAACCATACGCCGCATGAAAAATGGGACGAACAATTTTCGTTTTTGGAAAAGTAATCTGTCTTACTAATATTATCATCATCATTATGAATAACTCCCCAAACGCTAGCAACACTTATGAACATTCATAAAAACCCAATTAGAATCATAATTATTAAAAATAATATAATTGACTTCAGTTATAGTCAAAGATTCTAAACAGATTTGTCTACTAGATACTGACAAGGATATGCTTTTTGGCAGTTCTAAAAATTCGACATTTTAAATTTTGTGTTATGAAGAAAATAAAGGTTCATTCGTAATTCCAAGCAGTTTTCAAAACGTGGTCAAGCAGACAAGTGCATGTAAGACCATTTTCAAATGCAATCCACTATTCTCTAGTCTGATCAAATAATATCAATAAATTAGTGAGCCACTTCGTTTTAAAGGATTCACAAAACTAAAATCACTGTTTGAGCCATGTATGGTCATAGTATTCATTTGTATTTTAAAAATAACTTGTTTGCTATACTGCTCAAGTAAGTTGAGAGAGTCTAAAAAGGGAAAAGAATGAAGATACTATCAAGGTTTTTTTATAAAGAATTTATTCAATAAAAAATCAACATATTTTTTTAATGACCATTGATTTGGTAAAATACGTACATTATCCTGCTCCTACCCCTTGAGCACTGGTAAATCTCATCAAATGAAGGTCAGGAGAGGGAAAAAAATTGAAACAAATTCATGCTGAATAATATTTAAAGTAGAAATTACATTTTGGTATCAAAAGTAAAAAAGTAAGGAAAAGTATTGGTCTGGTGTATGGCAAAATAAGGAGTCTACTGTAGTACCTCGATGCTAAAATACTTAACACTAACCTAAAAAATAAATTATAAACTGTACAAAAAAATTGCATTATTCTCGTTTGTCCAAGAAATATGCGGTTTGGTCTATTCCGATAAAATGGCAAATGTTTCCTCCAAGATAAAATAAAATGGCAAAAATATTAAAGTAAATGTATGTTCTCAACTGTCAGAAGTCATGGACTCAAATGCCAGAACCCACGGACAACTGCAATTTTCCAACGGCACTCCAGTTGGACGTTCAAGGTATTCCAATAATCTTTTGTTTTACTTTGGTTAAAAATCCTGTTCAAAATCCTTGTTTATTATCGAGTAACTTGTCAATAGCCTGACAAGTTCCCGTTGACAATAGTTGTGATATACAGTGTGTCACATTATAGATTTGTATTTTTGCCGAGATCTACACTTTTCAAGACTCAAGTACTAAAATTGAATAAAATTAAATAATGTATTTGTAATGAATTTGTATATATATATACCATAGTGTAGAAAAAATTAAAAAATGCAAATTGTGTCCTCAAACACAATATTATATAGTCAGAATAATATTCTGAACAACATATTTTATATTTCTAAAGTGAAGTAAACTATCAAGAATTAACGATGTTAGGGAATTCTTGGTAAGTCATTTTTGAAGTTCAGATTTCATCTTAGAGTCCTGGAAAATGTGACCAGCCATTGTGGAAATATCCAAATTTGTACTCCTTCAAATAGCAAAAAACTGTGGGTGTTTTCAATCGACAAAATAAGCGTGCTTCAATGAAATTAGGAATACCTCAAGAAATACAGAACGTGAAAAAAATTGATGAATAAAAATGTCAATAGGCATTTGTTAAATGAAAAAGTCAAACAATAAAGCACAAATCTTACTGAATAGTTCACAGGAAAGATTATCAATAAAAAAGTTGAAGAGAAAATGTTATTAAAAATAATCATTGTATCAGATAATCAACTAAAACTATGGAAAGTGATGTTTTAAAAAGTCAAACAATAAAGCCCTATTCTTACTGAATAATTTAAATGAAAGATCATCAATAAAAAACTTGAAGAGAAAATGTTATAAAGAATCATATAAGATAGTCAAACAAAAACAATGGAGAGTGTGTCTTAAAAAACCACTAAAATAAACTCAAGGCAAAAAATAATTGCCTCTTCATAAAATGTTTCTTCTGAATACTCTTAAAATAGATAAAAAATTCTGATGTATTCAAGACACTTCATTCGTCATATAATTATTTTATCATTTGAGCTCGATATATACCCCATGAAACTCGAGTTAGGAAAAATCATTTGAACATTATCTTATTGACAAGTTACTCGATAATAAACACGGATTTTGAACAGAACTTTCGATCAAACTAAAACATAAGATTATTGGAATACCTTGAAACAAAATATTGGCTTTATAAAAAGCTGAATTAAGTCTGGCAATTCAGGGATCCTAGACTGAAAAGAGTTCTTGAAATATGTGCACCTAACGAATATGTTCAAAAGAGATTCTAAAAATAGTAAAAATCAAGGCACATTAAAAAGGTACCAAGTTACTGGGAACAGTCTTCAGGTAAAGTGTTTCTAAAACATACGAAATTATTGTCCAAAAATTGGAGATTCGTTTGGTTTCAATGTAGATACATGCATGAACTTTTGCGACTTGTATTTGTCTTGAATGGCGTGTTGTGGATTAGTGGAAGCACCGGCAAACATGCTTGTCAAAAATTCGATACAGGGCTGAAGCTCGCCAAGATTGTAACCTGTGGACTCGCACAGTTTGTCGCTCCATAATTCTTTCTCCTTCAAGGTGTGTCTGGCAATAGCAATGGCGGAAGCTGCTATCACTGAAGGTAAAAAGTCCAGGCAGATGTCTCCGTTGAGGAGAGCTAGTTCACTCAGATACTGGAAAAAATCATCACAATTAAATAAAATTTAATGCACGGGTAATATCCAATTTAAAATTTTGTGTTGCAGTCTATGAATACGGATGTAAATTACAACTAACTGATCACTACATGTCATGAAACAAAGTCCCCTGCTGCCCAATAAACTCAAAAAGTATAAAATAGTTATCAAATGCTTTGAAGAATGGTTCAAAAATATGCCACAGCACCTACATTATAACAAAATATTTCATTGGAGTTCTTCAAATACTGGATTACGTAGATCAATAAAACACAATTATATTATATTTTGAATAACTGAATACTTACCATGGAGAGATACATAGTTTTTTCACTCAATCTGTTGGTGACACAAGTTGCAGTGATGAAGCTAAGAGGCGTCGGAACAGAAAGATCAAATCCCAATACTTTCAGGATCAAATGTTCCATACGGATCACCTGTCTTTTGTTGTAAGTATCATCTGTTATGTACACAAATTCACTAACATCTGGTGGGTAGATTTCCTCATATTTGCTGAAAAATTATTTGATACAAAATTATTAAAAATCACCAAAGCGATGCAGACAGTAATGGAGAAAAAGAAATTACTATTTATCAGAACTTATCATACTTAATAATTTTATCTATAAAAAAATGAAGATACTCATATAACGGAGGCTGAAATTTGCCTAGGTCTTCAGAATTGTAAAAATTACAAATAATGACTCTTGTTTAATAATGCAGACTGTACTATCATTTAGACGAATCTGATTTTTATGAATTATTAAAAGTTATTTGTTAACATTCTTTTGTTAAATGACATCAACTGCGATCATTTTTTGCTTAAAAGGGTCATAACTGGTGACCGAATCATGGGTATATGGTTATGACATCCAAACCAAAGTCCAATCGTCCCAATGGAAAAGCCCAGGAGAGCCAAGACAAAAAAAGCACATCAAGGTTTTGTACACTGTTTTCTTAGATTACCTTTGCATAATGCATCAGGAGTTCTTGCCATATGGCCGTATATTTTGTGTTAAAATCACTGTTGCCAAGCATGAAAAGCCAAAAACACATTGAAACATATACAAAACCATTTTTACATGAATATGTTCAATTATTATCTTGAGAAACTGTTTTTAAATAACACTCTTCCAGTGAAATTTGAAAGAAATATTCACATTGTTAACCAAAAATCAATAATACTAATGAAGCCATCCACTTTCGTCATATAAATACTTCATCTCCCATTGAAAAAATTATTGAGACATCGGTATATGAACAATAGATTGATTACATTGAAAGTAATAAACTGATTATGATGAACCAATCCGGTTTTCGATCTAAACACTCATGTGTCAATAATAGTGTACCTCAAGGTAGTATCTTGGGCCCGCTTCTGTTTGTTCTTTACATTAATGATATCAACTTTATTAATGGACGTGAATTCATCAACCTATTTGCAGATGATACTCTGATTGCAGTGAGTGAACCTGAATTACAAACAGCTATCAATAAAATTAATGATATTATGATCAGAATATCTGAATTCCTTAACATTAATAAAATCAAGCTCAATGTCAATAAAACAAAATCAATGATAATTACAACAAAACATAATTCAATTGACAAAACATCTATAAGTATAAATATTTATAATCAAAAATTGAAATTGTCGAGGAATTCAAATATTTGGGGTTCATCACGGATCAAACACTGAATATGAACATTTCAATTATATCCGCAATAATATTGCTAAAAAACAATTTTTTTTTGTCCGTGTAAACAGTTGCTTACCGTTTCAGACTACCGTTACAGTTTTCAAATCAATCATTCAACCAAATTTCGATTACTGTGCTACTTTACTATCACAACTTGATGCAAATTTTTTGTCTACACTGCAAAAACTACAGGATAGAGGAATGCGCCTAATTTTAAGATGTAACAGATATACGCCAACTACAACAATGTTGGAAGTTCTGGATTGGCTTTCTGTGAAAGACCGTCTGTTCTATTTTACCATGGTATTCATCTTCAAAATATTGTCCGGTAATGCACCCCCATATTTTGACCAATTTGTTTTCCATCACCAAATTCATAATTACCCCATTAGGGGGAATTCTAATTTATATGTACCACGTTTGAACTTTACACAATCCATGAACTCCTTAAATATACAAGAAATATGGCACAAAGCACCCATGCTTCTTTCACAATAATACTAGTATTTTTACGTTCTTTATTGTTTTAAGCTCATTTAAAAAAATATATTTTTAACATTTTAGTTCGATGTTCTTTAAATACGTGTTTTTTTTACTTTTTTGAACAATATTTATTTTCATTTTTAAGTTTCGTATGCTATTGCAAGTAACATCAATACTCTTTTATATATTACAGTGTGTAGCTTTCCTATGAATGATATCTGTTTCAAATCCAATAAAAGTGATTTTTATATAATTTAACCTTTCTATGAAGTACTATATGTTTGGAAATGACTTTTTTCTTTCCTGTAGTTCAATGTTCATGTGAAAGTATTAGTTATGATATTTTTTTCTTCCAGATTATATTTGAAAAACTTCTGTGTATGTTCTACCTTTCTGTATAAAGGGTTTTTATTGCAATTATTTTCTTTCTTTCTTTCCATGGAAGATTCCATTTTTTGTTTAATGATGGGTAAGTAAAAAGCCAAAAAGTTTTTTCACAAAAAACTAATCTCTCCTGAAAATACATCGTTTTCAATTTGAATAAATTACTTGTTGTAAATAAAACTCTAGGTCCAAGACTCGCTCATGTATATTCAAAAATGATAGCTTTGTGGTCACAGAGACGTCAGATTATTCATCAGCAGTAGAAAGAATTTTCGCTTCAATATAGAAGTGACCATTTATGATGATGTCATACTTTTCGCATTTAGATAAGAGATTTCTAAGAATTTAAAAAATGTTTATTTGGGGATAGATGCATTGTAGACTTCATGTAGATCATGTAAAAATGATTACATTTTTGATAGTTAAATCATGAACAGCTGAATTTTACAAGTGAGTTTGCTCTACAGTTTGCATAATTCATCCCTACCATAAATAGCTAATTCATGTGTTAGCAGTATTGCAGTGACATCATGAATGTATTACTACTAGTATTTACTATGGTACAAAATTATACAAAAATACAAACCTCATGTTCTCGTAGATATCTGTAAATATCAGTTCGATACTCCTCCATCTCGAAGAAAATATCCTTGGAACTCTTGTTTCCTCGAAGAAGAACATCTCCTGCTACCTCCATACTCCTGTCGAAGGACTGCTCCATTTTGACTGCGCTGGACATAGACACATCAAGCGATTCCTTAGCCTCATCTTCAAGACGCTGTTTCCTCTCCAACTCAACCAATTCAATTTTTGAAAAAATTTTGTCATCTGCAGCACCTTTGTATGCCTGAGCTAAGCCAGAGTGCCTGCTTTTATGTTTCTGTTCAATAACAGCCAAATGATCTTCATAACCTTGATCCTCATAGACTTTGAAAGCTTCAAACTGGGCACATGGTATGATGGGGTTAACGAGGTTTTTGCGGTTCTCCTTGAAATCATTTTCAATTTTCAGGACCTGGTTATCGCGATTTTTACTGTTGTTTTCCAAAACTTTAGAATGATTTCCAATGTTTTTCAAGATGGCGTTATTTGAACCAGTTAAACCCAACGGCTGAAAAATCAAAGGTAAGTTTCACAGAAACAAAGATTTAATAGTTTTACTCACTTGTTTTCCCTTCACATTGACGTTGTTTATCACGTTATTCCTTTGACCGAAAGCAGTTCTTTTCTGATGAACGGCCATGGCAGTATGCTTATGCAGTTCAGGCAAACTGTTTTCCTTATTTTCATTGCGAATTGTGTCCATGTTGCCTGATTAATTCCAACCGATCCAACTCCCTGAGCAAACACTCGAAAACTGAGTACTTACCGAATATTTTAATTCAAGAAAAACGACCTACAATCTGAAGTACTCTCTCAGAAATGCGGGAAAGAACAGCTGAGGCGGTAGACCGAGACAGTCGTTATAACCCGAAAATCAACACCAAATCAACCAATAGGAAGCAAGTTACTCATCACGTGACGTTATAAACTGGTACCTTCTACAAACAAATTTACCTACTTAAGGTAGGTGGAATAAATGCAATTATAAAATTGAGAGGTACCAATCCATAAATTCTTGTGGGAATTCGAAATACGAAATTCAAAACGTGATGAAACTGAAAAGAGCAGAAACAATTTGAAATTCATAGATATATATATGTTGAATGTGTAATTTAAAATACACCAATCATAATCATTCTTGAAGAAGAAGCCAAAAAATTGTCAATTGTCAATGACAGACAAAATATTTGAACTTTACCGCTACTAATATTAAAATTGCGAATCGGATATATCATGAAATCAAAGGAAATTTGTAATAATTTTATGGAATCGAAAGGTTTTGGCTTTCTATGTAAATATTCATAATTTTATATTCTGAACCTCAATACACTGAAAATTAATAACACTATCCATGCTCTATAGAAGGGTGTACATCGTTCTATAATTAACATTGAGTCTGTATGATATTTGATATTGGCAACACTGTTTTAGGAAAGGCATGTTAATGACAGAATAATTCCTATTATGTGCTAAAACGTTTGCGTACTATTTTATGCCATTGTTTGTTATTTATTTCTTGTTCCTTGCTAATTAAGTGTGTAATAATCCCATCTCTTACTTTTTCCATCCTGGGTTCTTTTTATACGAGACACCATTTTGGTTTGTGATAATGCTCCAAAGCTGCCCTGAAGCGGGAAGAGTCTACCTGCTGTAAATAAATGTCTTGCACATAGAAGAATATGTTGGAGGAGAGATGGAAAAACACAGAATAAAAATATATTAAGAAGAAAAAAAATGCAGTACAATATTGTGTAAAACAAGGCTCTTTTACTCCTTGGACAAAGTTTTTATCATAGTTATTACTATAATAAAGAGCACTGGTCATAAGCCAAATCTGGAAGCCGGGACCAAAATTAATAAGAAGAAGAGTGTGCAATAAAAAAGGAGAAGAAGAGTGTGCAATAAAAAAGAAGAAGAAGAGTGCAATAATTCCCCATAATATTTTTGAATTATTGAATTGAGAAGTTTAATTAAAATGGCAGAACAGTATAAGTACGTATTCAGTAAATCTTATTTGAATAGTGTGTATCACTAGAAATGGAATAAATAACAATCGATCATTGAGCTGAAAAATATCTGCCTTTACATAATTTACAGAAAGCATGACATATTTTATACCTTTTTTTTTTTTCGGTTTACAACCTTCCACAATCTGAAAAAATTAAAGCTAAATCAATAGAGAATGTGCTGAAGTGTAGTAAAGGGCAAAATAAGAAGTTCACCCCAAAAAGTTACTGCGTTATATAAATTTTGCCTAGAAATTGAAAAAAAAATTAAATACTGATACTTTTCCTTCAGCAAATTCACTATTGATTCAACTTTTATTTTTTCAGATTCTGGAAGGTTATAAACCCAAAAAACAGTATAAAATATTGAGTCCTCCACAAAAAAAGTCCTTTAAAGAACACATGACATATATTATGGTACTGGAAATATTGAAAACTATTTTCAGGTCTTTGCATCCTATAAAGTATTACCGTGATTATTTAGCACACGAAATACGTCCTGATGGTAGAGAGTTTAATAAATTTAGGCCAATTATTTTGAATGTTGGGTCCTTAGATACTGCTGATGGGTCAGCTATAGCTAAAGTTGGCCAGACTACTGTAGTGTGTGGAATTAAAGCTGTAAGTATATTGTATGAATCTGTAATACTATAGCTAACTAGACAAAATATGTAAAGTTATTTGAAATTTCAGGAATTGTGTAAACCTAAAGCTGAATCTGCTGATAAAGGTTTTATTGTACCAAATCTAGAATTACCTCCCTTATGTTCTTCAAAGTTTCGCCCAGGTCCCCCCAGTGATCAAGCCCAGGTATTAAGTCAACTCATAGCAGATGTAATAGAAAACTACAAATGCATTGATTTAACAGATCTTTGCATTTTTCCTTATAAACTGGTGTGGTGTCTTTATATAGATTTCATTTGTTTGAATTTTGATGGTGCGGTGGTAGATGCCTCTGTTATAGCACTAATGGGAGCATTGAAAACAGGTAAAGTTACTTTTCCTTAAATTTCAACATATAGTTTGAAATAAAACATTAGCAATGCCATTAAATGAGAAGAAAACTGATGTGATACGAAAAGAGAAAAGAAAATTTCTATGTTTTTTACCACTGTGGTAAAAAACAGAAATTTTCATTTCTCTTTTCATTATGATCTCCTACCTGTAGTAACGGCTACATCCATCAATTTATTGATGTGATACGATTAAGAAATGTTTATCCTTTGTCCAAGCTAGACCCACATTACTTTAGCAAAACTAATATTATGACTGTACACCTGTCTGCACTTATTTGAAAATATATCCTAGTTTGCTAACTGAGAAGTTGAATTTTATTCCAACAGATTGTAAAATTATTGTCAATATACATTTTTTAAAGAAAAATATCCTATTTGTCAGTAATTTTTGTACATCAGGCGAATATCTGAATATTTATGTATATAAATTCGTAACACATTATTAGGTAATTATTTTTTTCAAAAATAATTGTGATTGGACTTGCATATTTTTGTCTGGTGATCGCAAATGGCCCCTTACTTACTTGTCACTTCTTTTTTTCATTAAAAATGTTTAACTGTCTCAAACTTTTATCTTTTCCAGTAAAGACCTCATAATCCTTCATGAAAGTAAATGACATTTTTACAAAATACTTTTTCATTGGTTTTGTTGACAGTCTTTCAAAATTAATGACAATGGCCACATTATTGTCCTATTTATCTGTGTATAAAAAAAAAATAGAGAATTTTGCCTTATTTTCTGTCATCCAAAATGTTCCTTCCTCAAAGTTGAGATAAATCTACGAAATTTGGCATTACATTTTTGGACTCTGACATCTCAAGGAAAACTTCAAAAATTGCAGTCAAATTTGAAAGCTTGATGAAATTAAAATCAGTAGATCTTACAAAGTCTGTCTCTTACTTTGAATATAGTTATACACCTCGTTCAAATATATAAAAATTGCATGGGAAATTATACCTCACCACCAAAAGGATATTTTCAAGTTATTGAGAATATTTTGTTTACAATGAATTTATTAAAATCTCCCTTTGTTTTCATGTGGAAGTTCAATTTTGAATTTTTACATTTCAGCTACATTACCAGTGGTTAATTATGATGCAGCTTTGGATAATATCCAAGTTGATGCGGATCATAGAAAATATCTGACTATCCACAGCACACCTGTATCTACTACTTTCGCAATATTTGATGAGTAAGTTTTTTCATTTATTGGTGGTATTGAACTATAATTTATATTTCGCCTTAATTGTTGATTTATAAAGATAATTTTCTTTTTTTTTAAGTAGAATATCTAGGTACGTATAAATTATTTCAACTTGATATAGGCGCTGTTGCCAATATGTGAATTAGAAACAAATCCCTTTAAAAATTAAAACCCAACATTTGAAACATCAATTTTAATACTTTTCGTAGTGAATTTAAAACTCATGAATTAAACTCAACTTTATTTTGTTCAAACTTGCATTTGCTGCAATAACCCAAATTGGGGAACATTCCCCATTGCTGTTGATTGCTAAAATCGTTGGGCACCCACTTTTCGAGCTTATTGGCCGTTTTAATATGTTTCAAACCATAAAAACTGCGTGGTAGCTGATGCCTAGTTCTTCTGCATCCCAAGCACTGTTTGTGATGAGTCAGTCTCCTCCGAAGTCCTCAAATCCTCATCCTGGATTACTGTAGGTCGATCACTTGGGGGCTCAGCATTGAGGCTAAAATGTCTGGAATGAAATTTCGCAAACCAATGTCAAACAGTGTGTCCATTAACGCCATTATTGCGAAATGACTGTTTCATTTTTAGGGCTTTTTGGCAGCTCTTTGGTTCAGTTTGAATTCGTAGTGAAAAATTGGCTCAAAATCGCTCAAAGATCATATAATAATGAACTGAAAGGAGGCAAAAAATAAAATTCTGAAAAAAATGAACAGCATCACTGTATGGAGTTCAAAATTATCCATCGATCAATATATACCACGACACAGTGGAATAAATATTTATCGAGATATGAAATTACAAATACACATGACATGAAAACGGACAAAACTTTTGAAACAACCTAATACTTCTCCAGCATTACCCAAAAGAAAATGTGGGAATTTTTCGAGGAAAGGAAGAAACAAAATTCAGATAATAAATATATATATATAGAAAAAAGTAAAATATATATAAAAATCATTATTGTTAGTTACACTTACACATTATTTATTATATTTTGTACATTAGGGCAACCTAAATAAATAAATTACTACTACAGATATCTCGTTAGAGAATCAATTGATATTTTGAATATAATTATCAGCTTCACAGCGGTATATTTATAGAACAGAATAGTTTTTGGAAAAAACTATTATTTAATTCATTCGAAGATAATACATTTTTTGATAAAACATGATTGTTGTGTAAAATACTTTCATTTCTGTATGCTTGTTTTTTACTCTTACAGCAAAATCATCCTGGCAGATCCTACAGTGGAAGAGGAAGATCTGTGTACGGGTATTTTAACAATAGTTGTGAAGAACGATGATGAATTGTGCTGTGTTCACAAACCGGGGGGTAGTCCTTTACCTGATGAAGATCTATTCAAATGTATAGATGTGTCGGTGGAAAGAGTACCATTGTTGAAAAAGTTAATTGAAACTTCAATAAAAAATGTTACGAATTGATGAAGATATAAATTCTTTTTTTTTGCTTACCTTATTTTCAAATAAAATGAGTCTGTACATAGTTTGTAAATACTTGAATAAAAATGCTTCAGATATTCTGATAAATATTTTTGCCAACTCGTACTTATGTTTAAATTGAAAAGGGCCTTTTGGCATTTTAATGACTTTTCCAAAATAACTTCTGAGAGTCTATTCTTTTTTATAACAACTATTAGGTGAGCAAAAAAAAGAAAACAAGCAACTAATTGAATAATTTGAAAATCTGAATTACAAGTTTCATCATCCTCCCCACTGCTAGAGGAATTATTTTTCCTCTAGATCCAATAGACAAATTTTTGTCACCAGTTGCCTGTATTTGCCATTTGAAGTTTTCACATCTACGATGCGTACTTTGCTATCAGGACCTGGGTAAGTTGCAGTTACACACCCCATCTTCCACCGTACATTAGTAGAGTGTTATCAATTAGTGTAACAACATCATTAACTAGGATAGATTTTTGAGTTTTCTTCTGTTTACCCCGTTTTGATAATGTGGGTAAGTATACTTCGACCCAACGTCTTCACAAGTTATCAAGCCACACCTGCGTTTTTTCCATTCTTCACTTGACGACCCCAAAAGGAAATGATTGGGAGTGATTGCTTCAAGATCGGATGGATCGCTTGACACTCTGGAAAGGGGCCTGGAATTGACTATATGCTCAGCTTCAGCAAAAAAAGTTTGTAGGGTTTCCTCTTTGAGAGACTGTTCATACAAATCCTTTGATATTAGAACAAAATTTGCGAAAACAGGTATAAGTTTTAGTTCTTTCTGATAAAGAAAATGTTCCATCAGTTGTCGCCGAAAGATCGCTACCAATTTTTTTTTCATATGGTACATCATTTGATAGGAATTTCAATTCCCTATCCAACACTGGGTTATTTTCGAAAAACTCACTCTAGTTTCTGACAAATTCATTTCTTACATCACGGAATGTTTCTGAGGTTAATTTTGTGGCAAGCACCTCCATTTCTATCCATGAGCTCTGGAATAGAAAGCGATTGTGAAACATATATTTTAGATTTCATAAAGTTCCTCAAAAAATCTAAAAGCTTCATTTAAGGTGATTTAGCAGGAAAATATAGGGGACCACATTTGCATATCCACCGGTTTGGATAATTGTCATCTAGCCACTTTTGAACCAGCCTGTTGGGTTTGCCAAATATATAAACAGGCAGAGGTCTCTTAGCATAGCCCACTAAATCACCTGAACTGACACCTATTGATATTTTAAAGGTTATTTGTGACCTCAGTTCGTTTCAGAACTCGTGAATAGATCCAGGAACATTCTATAATGTATGAAATGAAGAGTGAACAGACTTTGTCGTTGTTAGGAAGTGAATGATAAATGTTTCAAATGTTTGGTGAGAACAACTGGTTTGCTATTTGTATGCTTACAATTTTTCTTGATATGATATTCATCGTTTGTTCGCAGATACTTGTAACAAATATAGGATTTCCAATAATGAAAGAGTGTTAGATACATAGAAAATTGAAATACTTACCTATCAAACAAGCTATCACAAGACTTCCCTTTCCATTAAAAAAAGTCAGCACGCTCTTGATAACGAGTGAACACTCATCTTTCTTACAGAAAAGTACATAGTTTGTCATTAGCTCTCTGCTTTGGATATATCAATATGCCTAACTATCCTAATTAAAAATATAAATTACTTACGATGAATAAGAAAATCTATGTGACCGGAGAACCAACAAATATAAATTATTGCAATAACTCACACCAATCTACAGTGTAAGTGTGAAGACTGCTTTGAAGAAATATCTTCAAAAACATAAATTTTGCACCTGTTAATTGGTAGTGTTATACAAAATAAATTAAGATAATCCTCAAAAGAAAGTAGATTATGAAGTTTATGTCTTAGCCGAGTATCGAATATGAAAGAACGAATTTTGGTAGATGAAATTTTTTGTTGGAAAAACAAAACGAATTTGAGCGCCAATAATTTTTCAATAAAATGGTTTGAATTCACATTTTCAGATTTCAAATAATAAATCAGCATTCAGCAATAATAATAATAATGTGTCTCTACTGAATTATGATGTACAGGCAGGAGGAGCAATGTAGTTAATTCCACACAAAAAAGTAGCAAATGCATTGATGAAGTATCCAAAATGTATTTTCAACAGTAAAAAATAATGCCATATGAATTTTATATAAGTATCAGCAGATTGTTTTCTCAATTGTAGTATATAGGACTTATTTTCTAAAAGAATGGTCAAATTTAGCTTATTTTACATGAAGTCTGGGAAAGAATTGTAAATCTGGATAGCTATATAACTAAAAGTTTCCTGAAAGTGAACTTGTAGTTGAATTATTCGATGCCACCTACTTGATGCAACCAACAATAAAAAGCTAGTTAATTCCTCTTCAATATGGTCTTACCTTTCAGTAGTTATCAAAGTTGCTCTGCTCAACTCTGAACCAGTCTAGTTCTTTCTACAATTTCCTTTGTTAAAGTTATTAAAAAAGCAGCCTCATATATTTAATTTTATAACCAAAAAGATCTAGGGTAATCCAAAATTCATAAACTATGACTACTTATACTTGGAACTACTCGAAACATGGATTGAAATTAATCTGATTGTCTTTAATTGCTACATTAAAAACAGTAAGTTATATTTTGTATCTCCTTAGTGTGGATGAAAGCTGTCAAATAAATGTCCCCAAGCATTTTTTGACAGTAATCAGTGGAAAATAACACATTTTATTCTTTCTTTGTAATGTGCTTCATTCTGTAATTTAACAAGTGAACATGATTCCTGGATAAAAGGTGCTATGCAATAAAAACAGCTTATAAGTGTGTTAGCAGTTTCAATCTTGAGAAGAGGATTGAAACTAATTCTATTACTATTAAAAAATGAGAAATATATTTTCAATCTACTTCTTCAACTTGACCTGTCCAGATGAATATTCTTAATATTGTTAATGTATTTTCATTTGCATCCTGAAACTAAGGTGCAAAAAACTCGTCTAGTAGAACAAAAAAAAATGTATACAGCAACCTTCTTAAATGAAACAACTCGCCAAACAAACTTTAATTTATTTATGAAAAACCTATAAATGAAAACAAAACATCAATTATAACTAAACAGTCTTCAGTAAATAATACATTTCTTGTAAGAAAAAAATTGAATTCAATTCCTGACAATTTTATTTTTCTTTCAGTTTCTTATCCTCTTCATTTTTTTTCTTACTTTTTTCCTTGGCAGGCTCCCCAGTTTGAGTGATAGGAATATTTTTGTGTTCAACGTCCATCTCTTCCAACCTTGGAGCCATAATGCTGAGGACTCCATCACTGGACAATTTTGACTCCACTTTACTCATATCACAATTCTTTGGAATCTTGTATGTTCTGACGAAGTGTCTGTATATTTGTCCATGTTCATCCTTCTTCTCCTCGTGTTTCCCTTCGATGGTGATGGTGTTCTCTCCAGTTACCTTGACAGATATTTCCTCAGGTTTGAACTGCTGCACGTCTAGATTTGCCTGGAACTTGTCCTTGTCGAAAGTAACCGTTGATCCAGAATCTTGCTGGGACGCTGCAGATCTCCAGTTTCTCAAGTAACCGGCAGGACAAACTACGAGAGTTCTTGGAACAGTCATAGGTTGAACAAAATCATCAGGATCCAGTGTTAAGCCAAAATGTTGGTCTAATATTCTTGATGGACGCCCTAAAAGGCTTTCCTCCAACAAATACGGTAACAGAGACATTTCACAATAACAACTCGTCAAACTGCAAAAGTTACCAAAGAGACACTAATAGATATGTAGCTCGTAGCTTATGATACAACACAATCGCGTTTCAATTTGAACTGATGCGAGCTGTAGTGGATTACGCTTTTATAGTTCCAACGAACATTCTAGATGGCTCTAGATGTAATGAATGATAAGTCGCCAGTGTTCTCGAAAATTTCGTTCATCGGATATGAACCATGAACATTTTTACTGAGGATATCTGTTATGAAGTAACAGTTATTTCTGCTCCAAAGTGAAAGAATGGATACTAATTTTTTTCGTTTATTTTCTTGGCAGCTTATAAATTAATTTTCCACCTCTGATGAGGATTTTGAATATGATTATTTATAGTTTTGAGTACTTATGAGTTCTCGAAAGTTTTGTTAGTACCATCACATTATTTCGTATTATTGGAGTTAAGTATACATGTAGATGAGAACTTTTACGATTCACCCCCAAAACTATTCGATAAGAACGAATCTAGTTTTCACCTGATATTTCCGATTTCTTGTGACTTGTTGAGTTTTGATATTTTTTTAGAGAAGTCGCTCCAAAAGTAGATTATAATCGAAAAGTACTGTTCTGCCTTCCATATAACTCTGCTCAAAAACATTTCTTCTAATTAAACAGTTTTATCCTTGAATTTGTAAAGAAAAATATATAATCTTAAAAAAAATTGAGGAGGAGGGCTCACTTTTTACGTGTGATTTCGAGAACAAAACAGAATTAAGGTTTTCTATGATTGATAAGTATAAAATTCACAATTATTTCATCCGATATTCTCTTTATTTAACCATTTTCTTTCTACAACCAACAAGATGCCCTCTAATCGGTTATACTTCTGATGCTGTTTTGTCTTTCATTAAGTTTTCGCTGTTCATTTCTTCTTAATAACGGGACACAACTTCAGAAAGTAGGGTGAAGTAGTGTTTATCAAGCCAAGCTTTGGCTTCAACCATTTTTTTTTCGCCAAAAAGCGGTGCTGCATTAACACACGAAATTCTTTTTTATCCATTTCCTTCAAACTAACAGAAGTTGCTTCACTCAAAATGTTCTATCCCACAAACTAATAGTCCGACAGCTGTGAAATGTATACACATGTCTTTTGAAGGTTAGGGTTAACTAAAAATCATATAGAAGATATGGATTTAGTACTAGTAGCGCCATCTATGTGTTAGCCTAAGAACGTCTCAGACCACCTAATATATACTCAAATAATGAAAAGAGAAATGAAAATTTCTGTTTTTTACCACTTTTATTTGTAACTAACGTTACTGCAGTTTCGTCCTATACGGACATTTTCAAACTTATAGAATAAACTAACAATGATTCATTACATTCGCCATTATAAACCACCCCTATAGGTACTAATAGAAATAGAGTCACTGGCATTGATTGAGTACCTGAATTTACAGTTCACAATGCGGATATGCCAATTTAAAAATCGTAGAGTAAATGAAATCGATTTGATCATTTAACAGGTTGCACCCGCAATGTTTATGCTTGTGTGTGTGTTTATGCTTGTGTGTTTATGCCTTCCTTGCATAGTGCAGAGTTTTTACTCTTAAGTGTCCGGAGTGTAATAGTGTTTATGTGGGACAATGTGGCCGAAATTTCCAAAAACGGTATGCTGAACATGAAAGGTCCTTCAGACTGGGAAAAAATGATTCGACGTTTTCAAACCATTCCTTGGCATGCAACCACAAGTTTCCGAATCTAAACGATACGGAAATTCTGCACTATGCAAGGAAGGGTTGCAAACTCAATTACTTAGAATCCTTGGAAATTCACAAGCATAAACATTGCGGGTGCAACCTATTAAATGATCAAATCGATTTAATTTACTCTCCGGTTTTTAAATTGGCACATCCGCATTGTAAACTGTAAATTCAGGTACTCAATCAAGTCCAGTACCTCTATTTCTATTAGTACCTGCAGGGGTGGTATATAATGGCGAATGTAATGAATCATTGTTAGTTTATTGTATAAGTTTGAAAATGTCCGCATAGGACGAAATTGCAGTAACATTAGTTACAAATAAAAGTGGTAAAAAACATAGAAATTTTTATTTCTCTTTTCATTATGATTTCCTACATCCATCAATTTATACTCAAATAATTTTTTCTTTCTTCCTTTCTCTTCTTAGAATAAGGACTAATTTCTATTAAAATATAATTGTGCAAAACTGAATCAATGATTTGGCGTTAATTTTTTGTATATAAACCCAGAAAAACCACAATGTACTGCTTGCTCTGTCTGCTATACAACCATAATGTAGCAGACAGAGGAAACGAAAAAAGCTTATTATCTGTGATATCGAAACTAGTGAAAACCTTTGTTTTTTCAAAGACAAAATACAAGCACTACAGGAAAATCCTTAAGTCGCTCTGAGAGCATTGCCTGTGCGAAAGAAGCGACTCATATTGGATTTGAATCGCTAGAGTTTAAATCCATTTGTAAAAACGTGAAGTTTTCAGGAATGTATTTGGATCAATGTTTGCCATGTTTAAAACAGTGTAAATGTTTGATCTCTCGACTGAATTATATCGCATTCTAATTGGAAAGCTCAGAAATATACTGAGTATATACTCAAACTATAATATGCCCAGGCCTACATTAGAATTCAGTATGGAATTTACTTCTGGAATTTATGTTCTCTAAAGAAAGATGTTTTTATCGCCCAAAAAAGGGTATCAAGAAATGTTAATGTTATTAATAACGTGAAAACTTTATATACTTCCGAAGTGGATATTATTGTTAGTGTCCCACAGGGCTCAGTGATGGACCCTATACTTTTTTAATATGTGAATAATATGGAATCCATCTTTACGTATGCTCATTTTACATTAATATGCAGATACATCACTGGTTATATCAGATAAAAATGATCAAAATTTACAAAACAAAGGTAACTTAATCCTGTCAAATTTGAACACCTGGTTTGAGAAAAATTCCCTATATTTGACTAATCAAAAAACATAAGATTTCATGCTGGATAAAAAGAAATAGCCAGTTTCAATTTCAATCAATTTTATTACCCGAATAACGAGAAATTTCATCAAGAACATTTGCAATGTGCAAATATATGAACAGAGTACGCAAATGACTCGTATTTTTCAACAATAGTCATAGTTGATTTTTTTGTAATCTGTTCGCTTCGAAGAAAATAATCTTGAAATTCTATTAATCTGTCAATACAACTTTTCCATCGTTTTCACGGAAATACTGACTGAAATTTGTTATTGAATGAGAAAGTTCTGATGAGTATACTTTTTTGTCATCCACTTCCTTTATATGAAACAATTTTTTCACTAAATGTCATCCTTCAATTGGTTGTGAGGGCAAAACTAGTTGAACCAATCACAAAAAATTCAATATCACTTCGACAAGCCACAATTTGGAAATAACAAACGATGGGAAGACAGTAAAAAAATCACGTTATTCTAATATATTCCTTTAATACTATTCCTTTAATACAAGTAATAAAAAAAAGTTGAAATAATATAACAATACAGTCTTGATAAGCTTACAATGTTATTCAAACATATTTTAAAATATTTCGAAAAAAAATAGACTACTTTTCCTTCAATTTATTTTCCGCCTCCTTGTTCTTGATTTCTTTGGCAGGCTCCCCGGTTTGAGTGATAGGAATATTTTTGTGTTCGACCTCCATCTGTTCCAATCTTGGAGCCGTGATGCTGAGAACACCGTCGCTCGACAATTTCGACTCGATTTTACTCATATCGCAATTTTTTGGAATCGTATAACTGCGGATGAAATGTCTGTAAATCTGTCCGTGTTCATCCGTTTTCTCCTCGTGCTTACCCTCGATGGTAACGGTGTTTTCTCCGGTTAATTTCACAGAAATTTCCTCCGGTTTGAATTGCTGCACGTCGAGATTAGCTTGGAATTTATCTTTATCGTAGGCCACGGTTGATCCGGAATCCTGCTGGGAAGATGCCGACCTCCAGTTTCTCACATAACCAGCTGGACATACCAGGAGAGACCTTGGGATGGTCAGCGGCTGAAGAAAATCCTCTGGGTCGAGGGTGAGGCCGAAACGCTGGTCTAGAAGTCGCGAAGGACGTCTCAAGTATGCATCGTCGAACAAAAATGGTAGCAGAGACATTTTAACACTCTAATTTCACCTTTTGAACGCTTTTCTTAGCTCTCAATTGTGTTCAAACTCAAACTGCGCGGTTTACGTCGTAGCTCCCACTTATATAGTACCGATGATTATTCTAGATGGCTCTGGAAGTTACGATCGATTCGAAAACAACTCGGCAAATATAGATTCATCGGGTATGAACAGTGTACCGGTATGTTTTCATCAGTGATGCTTTGAATCGGCATTATATAGTATATAGTAATGTGACGAAATTTTCGTAATTTTTTCAGCATTACAGTTATATATTCACCTGTTCTCACTAATCTTTCAATCAATCGTTAGCAAAGCGAGCGAGAACACAATCGAAATATAGTAAAGAAATGATATTTGTCTACAATTTGTTTCGCGACCTGATGATAACAGTCATCAGTCATATCAAATGGTTTCCAGTTTCATCTAACCTTTAATGGGGACGTGTAATTAAATTTTTCAAGTGTATTGGTGAATATTGATAATACGTAATCGCTGAGCTCTGTGGAATAGGCAAAATCAAGAGCGCATCTTTTGTATCCCACATTTCTTCAATATTTTGAAAAAACAATTGAAATAATTTTTATGGTTTTTCACAACGAATAAAAAAAATATGCGTTTCTCCTGAACATTATCTCATTTGACATTAAAACTATAGTTGATCAACCGAACATTTTTAGAGATATTTACCCATAAGGTGTACATTTAAGTCACCTTATATGTGATTTATTAGTACATTAGGCTCAATAAATGTTACATATTATCGCATATTTCATATACCTTCAAAAAGTTTCTCCTCACGTAACTTTTTTATATCGATTTTATGAGCAGAGGCAAAGTAGCCCATAATGCGAGGTAACTTTGCCCAGTAAAAATTATAAAAAACCTAGTTAACTTTGACTTGTGGTCTTTTTGTCATTCAATCCTGAATCCTGTAATTATTTTATAATGTTATTGATTATAAATTCATAGATTTCGTGGAAAAAAATTGATTTAATATGTTCCTACAGTCCAAGAATTAATTTTTTTCAAATTTCGGATCTTCTCTCTTGTGCTTACTGAGATCACATGAAATTTACTGAATAATAATTTTTGAATAATCAGTTCGATCTGAGAATTATTAATTAGTTCGATCTGAGCATTATTAATTTACCACTTACGATGTTTAAAAATAAAATTATGTATGTTTTTTTGACTAATCTTCATCTTCAATTTGAACTGTGATTTATTAATGTAGTGATGGTAATTTTTATATTATTTGTAACGTAGGTGCATTTGAAAGTAATCAATGTTTTTTTTGTGTGTTTGTTCTGATTTGCCATTTAGTAGTCTGTTTTGGGTTAGGGGGGAGAACAGATGTCAGTCTTAACCTTCCGGTGCTGATTGCTATACTGAATCTCGCCCATTAACTTTTTTTTAGCTCACATGTATGAATATAACTGAAAATAATTAAATGACCTTTATTATTACTTATTTTCACAAACATGAATTCAACTACATTTCACTGAATATAGGTTGGCCCTAATATTGATCAAATAACAGAGAACAGAAATAAATACTATGTTCAAGTTGCATTATACGAATATACTCAAATTCTTTTGAAGTTAAAGTAAAAAAGTGCGATACAATCTACTCTGATTTTTTTCACTCAATGCATGGGCATTCGTGATTGTTTTAATGTAATTACATCTTATACTCTACGGTTCCGTTCAGATTTGCTGAGATTTTGTGGGATCTCTTCCCGTATCCCGACACACCTTATTATTGGATGTCCTTCAACAGTAGATTCCACGAATAACGAAAATAGCTTCAGACGTGACACAATAAGGATCTCCCGAGGAAACTTTATTCAATATAACTTCTCTAACAGTGTTTACCGAAGAATATGTACATTCATAAAAATATCTTGTCTATAAATATATAAAAATTAAATGATTTGTATAACGTCGCAACAGATTCCCGTGCTGAGTCGGGGAGACATTGCAACCCGTACGAATCATTTTATTATTAAAAATGTATTACTTACGCCACTGAAAAATTGAAATTATACGTTGGATTTGATTCTTCGTGTATTAGTGCCGTGCCGTTGGTAAGAATAAGCGGCGATTTTAACAAAAAAAATTAGCACGAGTTTCATTGGGAGAGTAGAAGTTACTGTCATTTGTTCTAATAAATCAGCTTGATTACGGAAATAAAAAGTTTGGCTTTGGTCAATTTGAAATAATTCTGCAAATACATCAACGTTCCGAATATGATTGGAACTGCTTTCTAAACAACAGATATACAGGAGTGAATCATGAAAGACAGTTCATATCCGATGAACTGTATTTACGAGTAAAATTCTAGAATCCTCTTCCAGAATAAGGACGGTAAATATATTGTCAATTTAATCCATGTTACGCAGGTAAGTGTTTTGTTTGATAATATAATGATGAGGCAGTGAAATATAATGGACATTTCCTTCGGCTTCTTCACAAGTGAATTTTTCAATTCAGATCAAAATTATCATCATCTTATTACAATTTTAGAGAGCCCACTATTTTATGTATGAAACATGTATGATACAAAAAAATACAAGAAAACTGCCGAAAAAAAATAAACATATTCAAGTCAGCTCAGCCGAAAATTCTCATAAAAACATGAAAATCTTATGGCCTTTCTACAAAAACTTTTTGAACCTCACCGTTTAGGCTAGCATAATATTGATCTTGTGCTTGTGAACACCATGTAAACATCGATGAGCTAAAATTGAAATATGTTAAAATTTGGAGTATCTAATCAGAAGATTTGAAAACTAACACAACCACACCCTATATTCGATTTTATCGTAACTGAATTGACATTGCATTCATATCTATTAAATAGATGATTCGCATTGTGTAAGTTTATGCGATTTTGATAAACAATACACATTTCTTATATAAACTAATATTATGCTTCATACAAGTAATCGAATTGAAATGCAATATTTCTTTCAAAGTAGAAATATATTTGAGGAAGAATTAAAACATCACCGTATAGGTGGGTCGTTGATTGAACTTCCTCTTGAAGATGATCACTTGGTGATCGAAACACGTGTCGAGGTGTTAAATTAACGGTTCGGTGTTGGGATAAAACTCCAGTAATATTCATCATTTAAAGTATCATAATTATATGTAGCAGTATCAGTACAAAAACGGAATGAAAGAAATTTGCAAATAAATCTGCTGTTTGCGTTGTTTGTGTCCAGAGGGGATATGTATCCACCTTTGAAATGTGTTCTGAGTATTGGGTTTTAGTTTTTCCTCTATAGTTGCAGACAATTATTTTTCTATGGTAGTACTCAAATCTGTGTCATAAGTCCCAACGCGTTGGGGTTGCAGACCTTGGATTTCTCCTTTGGCGGAGGCATGCCTGTAGTTTTACGGGGGGTCCACACTATGCCTATCGACAAGGTCGATCGACAATGTCGAACGACAGGCGACAGTTGCCTCGTCCACACATAATACTGCTATATTTTATCAGTCGAATGTGAGTAGTTGAGTGAAAAGAGAGTGAGTGAGAAATATTCTAAATAAATTATATTTAGTAAAACAAGCAAAACAAAAACAAAATGAATTTCACTAGTTCGGACTTCCATTGTCTACTATATAAAATGATTTGAAATCCCTGAAACAAGTAAAAAAGAATAATTAAAAAAGAATAGTTGAAAATAACAATTATATTAAGCAACAATAAACCTGAAATGAAATGATAGTGAAATAACCTACAAGTAAAATATAATAATTGAATAAATAAAAATTAAAGGAATGAAAAAAGAAAAGAAAATAACAAAAAATAAAGAATAAAAAAGTGTAGAGATTCCAAGTCACGTTAGTTCACGACGTTTCGATTGTTGGTATCTACAATCGTCTTCGGGTGATGACTGGACTGATTCCTCCGAGAGATGACTATTTTATAGGTCGTTGAAATACTTTCACTTTCTCTACTTTCCATTTTCCGCTTCACTGATTCCGTGAAAGATGTCCGTTTTGGCGGGAGTTGGTCATTTTTCGTTTGATGATGGGTTTCCATATGTTTCGTATATCTACGCTGGCCTGGCTGAATACGTTGTTGGACAACATGTATGCGGCTTCCTTAAATTTTCTCCTGAACCAATGTTCCTCTCTGTGCAAGATCTCAGCTTGGGACCACTCGATGTTGTGTTGATGGGTCCAAACATGGTCTGCTATTCCTGATTTGCTGGTTTCTTTTTTACTTGTTTCAGGGATTTCAAATCATTTTATATAGTAGACAATGGAAGTCCGAACTAGTGAAATTCATCACGAAACATTGTCAATCACCTTCAAACAAAAATAAAATGAGTGATCAAGATGCTCTTGTTGCTGCTGATACTGCCGTATTTATGTTCGCGCTTGTAAACCAACATGTATATCGTTCCAGGAGGTTTTGGATTCGACATAGTTAATGGGAGAAAAAAGTACAGTACAACTGAATTTATAAAGTACTAGCTGACCCTGCGAACTTCGTTCCGCCTTAGAGGCAATAAAAAAGCACATTTTTGATTTTATTAATTTAATTTTTTTATCAATCACGTATTTCAATTATTCTTTATTAGGTTGCACTCTTCAGTTGAGCACCTTGTGATACACGACATTTTTTGCTTTATTATCAGGCGAGAGTATAAACAACGCAGATGGTCTTCCGATCCGTGAACATGCCACATACATATAATTGACCATGTGAAAAACATTGATTTTACAGATTCAGACCACAAACTTTCAAGGATAGGCCTTGTGATTTGTTAATGATCATGGCGATACAAGACGAATTGGAAATTGAAGTCTTTAAAACACAAACGGCATATCGGTTGGGATCATCGGGATACTCGGAATGAGAACTTCCTCACCTTCGAATTTTAGTTCGAGTATCTTCGCGTAAATCACATAAAATCATTGCACCTTCAAAACATGCGTAGATCTTTCAATGTTCGGTTAAATGCTTCTAATACATTTGTGCGCCATTGTGCATTCGTCCCATATGATGATTTTCGATGCTGATAAAACTTTGGCCATTGCTGAGTTTTTTGAAATATTACATGTTG